AAAAAAAAAGACTAAATACAAGTTCTCATGTTTTCTTTCTCTCATCCTGGGATGGCTTGGGCTACCAGCAGGATGGGGTCTCTCCCCCTCGAAGACTCCTGCTGTAGACTAGTGATGGCCCAGAAAAATCTTCAGGTTCTCTTCTAAGAGGCAGCCTGGGGTAGAGGTTAGTGGGTAGGGGGGTGGGGACAGCCTGTTTGGGTTCAAGTCCCAGCTTTGTCCCTTACTAGCTGTATGACCTTGAACAAGTACTTCACCACTTCATGCCTCAGTTTCCTCATCTATAAAGTGAGACTTGTAGGCACTGAGTTTGTATAAGATATTTACAACAGTACCTGGCACTTAGTAAGCCCTATGCAGGTATTAGCTTCCAATGTATAAGCTTTTGTCATCTCTCAGTGTTACTGCTTCAGTTTGGTTGAGTTTGCAGATCTGGAAGGAGGTCTCCAGCCCTCACTGGTGGACATGTTGGTTCCCAGCCTCTTCCCTGTATATCTGACCTTTGGCACCACCCTTGGGCTCAAGGATTCTAGGGAGACTGATGATCTGTCTGGGCTTCTCAGCAGGGCTGGGGTGGAAGGGGTGTCCCCTTGTAGTGTGCTTGGCATTTCAGATGCAGTTTGTTGGGTGGTCCTTGGCCAAGGCAGCTTCCTGGGCTGAGTGCACTTCCTCTCTCAGGTCCCCCGAGACAGACTTGGCAGCAGGGCCAGGACTGTGTTGCCTTAGGGCCCTGTAGCTGGGTCAGGTACCAGATTCTTATACAAGCAGCTCAACCCCCACTTTGGAGCCTGGAAGGGTGAGTGGGTGGGTGTGAGTGATGCAAGGAGGAGGGCGACGGGTGGTCTTGAGGGACTGCTGAGCTGCTGTCCACCCTGAGCTGGCCCATAGGCCGTTGATGAAGCCTCCCCTCCCAGGGAGTCACCTTTTCCCTGTTTGCCAGGACACTGGGAGCCCCAGGCACTCCTCGCCATGGCAGCCTTGAGTCTTGGTGCAGCAGGCTCATTGTGTCTGTGGGTCACTGTGCTATGGGAGTCAGAGATTTGCCTGTGGCCTGCAAGTGTCCACACCCAGGTGGGCCCCCAGCCAAGCCAAGAGCTGGGATATCTGTTAATGAGCGCAGGCTATATAGCTCTTGACCACAAGGAAGCTGGTTTCCTGGGAGCCAGAGTGGGCCCCAGAGTGCTCACTGTTGGCTGAGTGAGCACAGTTTGTTGCACCCTGCTGGACCTCGGGCACAGAGCATACCAGCTCTAGCAGCAGTGAGAGAGACTGCAGCAGGCAGTTAGCAGACAGCCTGATTTCTTAATTGCCAAAACCAGTTCCTCTTACTGGATCTCAGAAATAACTGAGTCAGTAGGTCTCACTGGGGTATGAACTTCTTGTTGGTTCTGGTGGTGAGTGTTTGGGGAAGGAGATTCTGTGAGTAATTCTCCCTCTTTCCTCTCCAAGTTCATTTCCAGGCAGGGATAACATCATGTCTCTTTGTTCCTCCCTTCAGTGTAATCTGCAGGTCTGTTACGTGAATCTCCCTTAAAACGCTGCTTTTGCATAGTACTCCTCAGCCTAGGTGTCAGAGGCACCTGTGGCCACCTGTTGATGGCCCACAGCCTTATCTTAATGTATTAGTGCACGAGCCTCCTCCTCAGAGGCACCTGTGGCCACCTGTTGATGGCCCACAGCCTTATCTTAATGTATTAGTGCACGTCCATGGTTGACTGCTGTAAGGAAGGGGTGCTGTGGCTTCAGCAAGATAAGAGTGTGTTTCTGTTAGCAGTGCAGAGGGTCGGTGGGGCTGGGTGGGTGGTTCTGCTCCCTCAGGGCCCAGGTTCCTTCCACTCCTTGCTCCACCATCGGCTATAACATTTTCCATTGCCACAGTGGCCGCCTTCCAGCCTGTAGGAAGCAGAAAAGGGAGGATGAGGAGGGAAGCAATTTTCTTTCTTTTTTTTTTTATTAAAAGATGACCAATAAGGGGATCTTAACCCTTGACTTGGTGTTGTCAGCACCACGCTCACCCAGTGAGCGAACTGGCCATCCCTATATGGGATCCGAACCCGTGGCCTTGGTGTTATCAGCACCGCACTATCCCGAGTGAGCCACGGGCCGGCAATTTTCTTTCAAAGAAGTGATATCTCAGTGGACACATTGGCGGTGATTTAGTCACATGACCACATCTGGAGCAAGGGAGGCTGGGAAATGGGTTTTGCGGTTGGGCCTCCAATTGCCAGCTAAAACTGCATTCCCCTAAACGACAGAAGAGGAGCATGGATTTGGGGGATAGCCAAGGGGCTGCCTCAGTTGGTAAGAGGCTCCAAGGACTCCTCCCCACAGGACCTTCCCCATCCCTGCCCTCAGCCTCTTTATCTTAGCCTTATCCTCCAAGGCCCGGCTGGCTCCTCTCTGTTGCCTTTCCCGACCATGCTGCCTTGAAGTCCAGTAAGCTTTGTGCACTCTTAGTGTCTTAGCCACCCCATCACTCAGCATAGACGACCAGGTAGAGTTGGGGAGCTTTTCCCATCAACAGCCACATCCTTAGCGAGACTGAGCATGCTCAGGATCCTGCCCCAGAGGGTGCACACATTGCATTTATTGAGCACCTACTGTGTGCCAGAGAGTGTTGTAGGCTCTAGGAATACAGTGGCATGTGCTTGATAGTGGTCCTATCCTTATGGAAGTGGCATTCTTCAGGGAGAGATGTAATAACAAGTCAAGATGTAGATAAATCAGGGGGGAAATGGTAGACAAAAAAGTCACCCCCAAACAAAAAGTGAACCAAAACACAACCAGATGCCGACCAGGGCCTGCCATTAGCTCTGTGAGCTGGGAGAGTCACTTCATCTCCCTCAGCACCAAGTCTCCATCCTGTAAAAGGGATACATGACCATATCGACCTATTCCCCCTAGGACTGCTCTGGCATGCTCAACAGATGGAAGCTGTTGATCAAATTGTATTGATTTTCTGTGTGGTGACAGATTTGCCTGGAGTGGTGTATTTGGATTTTTTGGGGTGTGGAGGGAGGTTGTGGTAGTTTCTGTCTTTGGGAAAGGAAGGGAATGTCCCTGGGGGAACCCTGGATTGACCAGCTCACTCGCCGCGCCCCTCGTTGCTCTTCCAGGGCTCCAACCTCACAGACATCTGCACCCAGCTCCTCCTGCAAGGTACTTTGTTAAAAATCTCCGCAGGCAACATCCAGGAGAGGGCCTTCTTCCTTTTCGACAACCTCCTTGTCTACTGCAAGCGGAAATCCAGGTGAGCTGCCTGGGAGGCTGGGGGCAGGGTGCCTGGGTGGGGTGAGGAAGCTGGGATTGGGTCTGTCCTGCAGTTTTCTTTTCTGTAAAATGGGCACATAAACCCCTCCTTCCAGTAGCATTTGGTTAAGAGCTAGGCTCTGCATGAATGGATCCCTGTTCAGCCACTTCTCTAGCTGTGTGATTTTGCCTGTCTGTGCCTCAGTTTCCTCATCTGTAAATCAGGGTGAATTATCGTATGTACCTCATAGGGTCATTGTGCAGATTAAATGTGTTAAGTGTGCCTGGCACGTAGTAAGTACACAAAATAAGGGCTAGCTGCTTTACTGTTCATGTTCATTTACCTCCACACATCGTCGGGTTCTTATTTAGTGCGATCCTGGGGGGACAGCACCCGGAGCACAGGAGGTACTTAGGCCACAAGCCCTTTCTTCCCTGTCCTGGGGCTTGGCCCTTCTCTTCAAAGGCCTGGATCTCCTTTTCACCATCTCCCAGTGGCTGGTTCAGCATGTCTCTCATTTGCCATCTTACCCTCACCCCTCAAGGTCTACCATTGCTGTCTGTGCCCTCCTGTCCCCCCACTAACGCCCCCTTCGCCCCCTCCCTGCTTCCTCTCTCTTCTCCCTGGGGCCATCCTGAGCGTCCTCCTTTAGCATTTCCAAGGCTGCTGCCAATGTCCACCCCTAGCTCTTCCCTGCCACCCCGCCCTGGGCTGTCTGAAGCAGGCACTTTTCCCAGAACACTGGGGTTTGGAAAACAGAACGTCCCTTCAGGCCTCTGTGACCTGCCCCAACTGTTGGCTGTTTGCTCGGGCTTTGACCTCACTGATACGGGCTCTTCCTCCTGGGGGGCAGTCTTACCTGTGCAGGGATAGCAGCTGATTCCAATCAAACTGGATTCCACGCGGGCCTTACAGGGCCCTCCTCGTGGCTGCCGTGAGCTCTTTTCAGGCCATTCCCTGCCTCAGTCCTGCAAGTGAGCCCGCTGGCTGGAGGGGAGGGGAACATCTGTCTCCTGAGAGGCAGTCTTACCTGTGCAGGGATAGCAGCTGATTCCAATCAAACCGGATTCCACGCGGGCCTTACAGGGCCCTCCTCGTGGCTGCCGTGAGCTCTTTTCAGGCCATTCCTTGCCTCAGTCCTGCAAGTGAGCCCGCTGGCTGGAGGGGAGGGGAACATCTGTCTCCTGAGAGAACCTCGTGGGCAGCCAGCATTCCTGCCTCTGGATTGAGAGCCGGGGCTGAGCTCTAAGAGGTCGAGGGATTGGGCAGTAGTGGGTGGAACTCCCGGCTGGCTCTGATGTGGTCACAGGAAACGCCTGAAGCGGCTAGGTGTCTGCCGACTGTTTTTGTCTGTGCCTGGGTCACGCAGAGCACTGCCTGTCCGGGACATGGGTCAGGAGAGGTCTCTGACTCTGAGTGCTTCTGAGCTAATTCAAAAGCAGAGGCTCCTTGAATGTCAGAAGTGGAAGGGAGTGTTTTAAAAGTCCACTCCCCATTCTACAGAAGGGGAAACTGAGACCCAGGAGAGCTAAGTCTCATGTATGTCAACTGCCTGCTTAGCATCTTAGAGGCAGCAGTAGCATGTAGTGGTTAAGAACACAGAAGGCTCTGCTGCTAACTAGCTGTGTGACCTTGGGCAAGTTGTGTCAGCTCTTTGTGTCTCTGTTTTTCTATCTGTTAAGTGAGGATAAAAATTATCCTCATTTCGTGGGCTCGTTTTTATAGAGTAGTAAGACATATAAAGGATACACATGTAAAGTGGTTAGAATAATGCCTGGTACATGGTGTGTGAAGTAGAAATATAAATGTATATCCTCACTTAGGTGTCTCACATATAGCTTACACTTAAATTGTGTCTAAAATAGGACTGTTCTTTTTCATCTCAATTACTGCCCCAAAATTTTATCTCCTGGGGCCTTTTTTATTCCCAATAAATGTCAACAAAATCATTATTCATCAGAGTTCTCCAGAGAAACAGACCCAATAGGGTGTGAATGTGTATGTGTGTATATATCTAAAGAGATTTATTATAAGGAATTGGCTCACACAATTATGGAGGCTGACAAGTCCCAAGATCTGTAGTTGGCAAGGTGGGGACCCAGGAGAGCCTATGGTGTAGTTCCAGTCCTGAGACTGGCAGCCTCAAAACCCAGGAGGAGTTGATGTTTCAGTTTGAGTTTGGCGGCAAAAGAAAAAATTTACCCAGGAGTTCAGGTCAGAATCTTAGTTGTCCTTGATTCTGAGCTGCCATCAACCCCTTACCCAGTTCATTAGCAAGTTCTTTTCATTCTGTCATTAAGCTTTGTTCAGAACCTCAATGAAATTCCAATAAAAATTCACACATTCACACCCTATTGAGTCTGTTTCTCTGGAGAACCCTAATACAGATTTTGTTGCCATTTACTGGGAATAAAAAAGACCCCAGGAGGAGATAAAGTTTGGGGGCAGAATTTGAGATGAAAAACTTAACTTTGTGTGTGTATGGATGTGTATATACGTGATTGGCTGATTGTAAAATTTACAAAAAAAGGCAAAGAGGTAGAAATAGCTAAGACAATTATGAAGATCAAAGCTGGAGGAGGACCCTTATTACCAGACTCCCAGGCTTGCTATAAGGCTGCAGTAATTAAGACAGTGTAGTACTGGTGTAAAAACAGACATATAGACTAATGGAATAGAGTAGTGAGTGCAGAAGTAGACCCACATGTGAGTAGTCATTTAAATTTCAGAAAAATGCCAGTGCAGTTCAATAAATGGTGCTTGGTCAGTTTGATATCCCATGGGGGGAAAAAATGATTCTTGATCCCTACCTCACACCATACACAAAATCAACTGAAGGTGGATCGTAGATTGAAATGTGAAAGGTAAAACAATAAAGCTTCTAGAAGAAAGCACAGGAGAATATCTTCATGATCTGGGGATAATCACAGATTCCTTAAATGGGACAAGGTATAATTATAAAAGAAAAATAGATTCATCAAACTACATTAAACCCCAGAACTTCAGTTCATCAAAAGATACCATGAAGAGAGTGAAAAACAAGCCACAGACTGGGAGAAGCTCTCTGCAATCCACTCTGCCTGTTTTTGTAAATAAAGTTTTATTGGAGCACAGCCATGCCCATTCATTTATGGCTGCTTTGGTTCCACAAGAGCAGAGTTAAGTAGTTGTGACAGAGACCGTATGGCCCACAAAACTGAAAATGGTTACTACTTGGCCCTTGTTAGAAAAAATTTGCCAACCCCTGCTATAAATAATTAAGAAAAATACTAGGTGCTGGTAGCACTAAAGAAAGAAAAAAGGAAAAAAAAAATAGTTAAGAAAAAGACAGCCCAACAAAAAATGGTCAAGGGACAATCTTTTCACAAAAGGGGACACCAGGTGGCCAATATACAAAGGTCCTCGACCTGATTTACTCATCAGGGAAATAAAAATTAAATGTTTAATGAGATACGACTGTACACCCACCAGAATGGCCAAAAGGAGCAGTAAGTACCAGTTGTAGAGGATGTGGAGCAAGTGGAATGTTCCTTCTCTGCTGGGCATGGGAAAATTGCTACAGCTATTTTGGAAAACAGCTTGGCACTAAAGCTGATCATGCGCATTCCTTATAACTCAGAAATTCCACTCCTAGATATCTAACCCCAAAACATGTGTACGTGTGTTCTTCATACGACACTTACAAGAACACTCACAGCAGCACCAAACTGGAAACAAACCGAGTGTCTGTCACTGTGGCTACAGCCAACAACAGTCAAGAGGTTGAGAGAAGGAAACCAGAGACGAAAGCATACACTGGGTAATTCCATTTACGTCAGGTTCAAAACAGACAAAGCAATTCTATGGTGTTAGACTTAGGATAGTGATTACCCTTGGGGGAAAGGGGTAGTGTCTGGAAGGAGGGTGGGGGGGATTTTGGGGTGCTAATAATGTTGAGTCAGATACTTCTTAGGGCATTTTTCTTTCTCTACTTTAATACAGCATTTGCAAAAATATGTATATGCATATATATACGTACATGTGTGTATGAATACATACACATAAACCAGCATGCTCTCTCACCTCTGTGATTGCAGTAATCTCCTCCCTGGTTCTCCCTGCTTCCACCGACCTATGTCCATTCTCCACCAGCAGCCACAGGGAGTCTTTTAAAACCTAAGTCAGCTCACATTCTTTCTCTTCTCAAACCCTCCAAGGCTCTCATCTCTCACACACAGTAGAAGCCCAAGTGTTCACTACTTAGCACTTAATTTTCAGAGAGAGAACTCTTCCACATTTCTATGTCCTTCACGTATATGATATTTACCCAATTATGGTAACAACATCAGGCAGATAGGTTTGGGGACAAACCCAGCTGGCTCTTGGTAAACATAAAGCCCGCCTAGTGGAGCAGAGAGGCCAGCACCCACCATGAAGTGGCCTTGGAGCTCTGAGAGTTTGTTCTCTGCCTTATTTTCACCAAGGCATTTAGCACCTCTGACCTAATGTGTGTTTTACTTAGTGTCTGTCTCTGTGTCCCCCACCCCCTCCCTCATATTAGAAGGTGAGTTTGCAGAGACTTTGTTTTGTTTGATGCTGCAACCCCAGCACCTGGAAGAGTGCATGGCTCACAGCAGGTGTTTTCCAAATGCTTGTGGAATGCATGGATGAGTGACTGCCCATGGTGCTTCACTTGGCATCCTCCCCAAAGGAAGCGCTGGCTAGAATGTTTATTGAGTGACTGTCTTAGTCCCTTCAAGCTGCTGTTAACAAAATATCACAAACTGAGTAGATGATAATGCCTGACAAGAGTGTGCTTTCTCGTTTATAGATGGTGCCTTCTTGTTTATTGTGTCCTTGTGGAAGGGACAAGGGATCTCCCTGGGGCCTCTTTCATAAGGGCACTAACCCTGTTCATGAGGGCACTGCCCCCACGTTATAATCATCTCTCAAAGGTCCCATCTCCTAATACCCCTACGTTGGGGGAAGATTCAACATATATAGTTTGGGGAGACACCAACATTCAGACCACAGTAGTGACTGAATGGGTGAGCGATAGAATTCACCTGAATGAATGAATGAATGAATGAATAGTGTCTGGATGGGTGGGTGGACGGCCTACTCCAAGCTCTCCTTCCTTTCTGGTCTTATTTCAGGAAGTGCCTATCTTTTAGAAATTCAACAGGCCTCTTCCCATTTTCTAGCCAGGAAGAATGGGTTTCTTGCTTCATGTTGGTCTCCCGTGGATGTCTCCTGTTAGCTGAAAAGTAGCTCTGAGAGGTCAGCAAGGCTATGAGTCCATTTTCCAGAGGAGGAAACTGTGACTGAGAGAGAAGTAGCTTGCTCATGTCATCTGATCACCAAGTGCACACCCACCCTCCTGGCCTGGTCCAGTGCTCCTCTCCGTCCCTGATCAGCCCCCACAAGAACAGTCGTGCCCAGTGAGGGAAAGTGCAGGGGACACTGACTTCCCACTGTCTTTTAGGGTCACTGGGAGCAAGAAGTCCACCAAGAGGACCAAATCCATCAACGGCTCCCTGTACATCTTCAGGGGTCGCATCAACACTGAGGTCATGGAGGTGGAGAATGTGGAGGATGGGACAGGTAGGCCCTGCCCTGTCCTGCCTGAGCCAGCTCCGCCCGTGCCTGGCACCTTCTCTCTGTCATTTGCATATTCTCTTTCTTTAATTTGAAATGTAATCTACCTATAGAAAAGTGCCTAGAACATAGACAAGTGAACACCTGAGAAGTCAGCATACAAGTTTAGAAATAAAACACTGCTCTCCAGTCCTTCCCCAGCACAATGCCTTATGCCTCCCCCAGGAGTCAGTGCTGTCCAAATTTTCTTGATGATCATTTTCTTGCTTTTTAAAAATATTTTCACCTCCTAAGTATTCATTACTAAATTTTACTAAAGCTACTTTTACTTTAGTTTCATTTCTAAATTTTAATTAAAATTTCTCTTTTTGAATCCTATAAGTGACTTTAAACATATCTATGGTTACATGTATAGTTTTTTGCATATGCACTTAGATGGTCATAAGATACCATCTCCATTCTTCTGCATCTTGCTGCTTCCACCCCAGACCATGGTGGAGTGCTTCACCCATGTTTGTCCATGTGGCTCTTAGCAGCTGGTTGGTTTCCATTGCTGTATAGTATTCCATTACAGGAATATTCCACAACTTACCCATGTTCTGGGTGATAAACATCTGGGTACTTTCCACCATTCACTATTATGAACAGTGATGCTGTGAGCATTCTGTGTGCATCTCCTAGAGTACATGCCCTTGCTTGTCTTACGCAGTTTTGAGCCACAGATACCTTTGGCAGTGTCACCTATGGCCCTTTCCTCAGATTCAGGGGATTGACTTCCCTAGATACTGCCAATGAGTTTTCAGAGAGGTTTGCCAATTCCTGTTGCAGCCAGTAGTGGGTAAGGGCCTGTTCTTGACCTGGTGTTGTCAGACTGGCACTAAGGTTTTAAGTGACCCCAGTGCCTGAGTGAGATGGGAGGAGGCTGGGAAGCATTCCTGAGTTCTGAGAAGGGGTCTCCTGGTGAATCACTCCTGCATTTGTGCCCAGATGAGAGGTCTTGAAACCCCCTGTAATTGTGAGAGGGGTCTTTGTTTGCAGAAGGTTTTCCTTGCCTATCAGAGAATAGCCAGGAGAGGGGGTAAGCATTTGAAAGGTTGAAAGTTCACCTCCTAAATCCTGATCCTGTTGATGGCCCTGCCCTGTTGTGCCGGAGAGGGAAGGGCTGGCCGGGGACCTCGCCCACCAGAGCATAATGGGGTAGGTTGAGAGTTGTGTAGCTGAGTCTGCGCTGATCCCCTCTGCCCCCTGTCCCCTGCCCCTGCCAGCGGATTACCACAGCAATGGCTACACTGTCACCAATGGCTGGAAGATCCACAACACAGCCAAGAACAAGTGGTTTGTCTGCATGGCCAAGACGGCGGAGGATAAGCAGAAGTGGCTGGACGCTATCATCCGTGAGCGGGAGCAGCGCGAGAGTGAGTGGTGGTGAGGGGGGGCTTTCTGGGATCCCTGGGCTGGGCATGGCGTCTGCAGCGTGAGGGCTGTGCCCGGGGAAGGGGCCTGGGGTCCTTGCCGGGAGGGTTGGAGCTGCGAGAAGCCAGTGTTTGAAGGATGGGGAGCTCTGGGACTGTGTTACCTCTTGGTGGTAACTCAGAGGCTGCCCACCAGACAGATGGCGAAACTGAGGCCTGATGGAAGGGACTTGCCCAGGGCTTCACCTAGAGGAATGGAACCCAAAATGCTCCTCTTTTCCCCCACATAGCCCTGTGCCCTCTGCCTGAGGTTTTTTGTGTTTGATATTCACTGAATCTAAGTCGGGAAGGAGGTTTCTCTGGGGCTGCCTATTAAGTGTGGTCAAGAGCCCCTCTGGGCACAGGTACCCCTGAGCAGTTCACGTAAGGAAGTGCAGGGGCTGGGTGTGATGAGGGGTGGGTTGGGGGGTGGCGCTGAACTGTGTTAAGGCACTGAACTGTTGTGCAGAGACCACCAGGCTGGGAAGGGAGGCCTTGGTTTGTTTTGGGGTGAGTAACTTCAGCTTCCCAGACCAGTGATCGCATCTGAGGATGAAAGTTCCTGCTGTAGAGGACTGTCATGCTGCTTAAATGAGGTCTTGGGTTTGACCATACTTGGAAATCTGACACACAATCCTAAAAACCCTCTCTACCTCCCGGTTTCACAAAGGAGGAAACTGGGCCTCAGTTTCTTCTGTATGGATATCCTGCCTCCTTGAAATCACAACTTGGATGTGTCCTAGACGTGTCACACTTGCCATATCTAAATCAGAACCCTTCATTGCTACCCTGTCTTCTTCCCCAAGCCTGCTCATCCCCCTGACTTCTGCATATTAGCAATGGCTCCTCCATTCACCCTGGAGCTCAGAGTCAGACCTTTGGTTTCGTCTCTGACCTACCTCCAGCCTCTGCTCCCCAAGTTCAGTAGATAGACAAGTCCCTTTAATTCTGCCTTCCACTATATGCCAAATCCACCTGCTTCTCTACTCTCCCTACTTCCATCCAAGTCCAAGTCATCATCTCTCAGGAATATGGGCCCAGTGTGACTATATCCATAGATGTTTTCTCTAGAGGAGCTAGATATCTGGATCTTGAATGCTATTTCCTGATGTTAAATGTTGCGCCGAAACTTATTAAAATGCCATTGGGCCAAATAAACTACTGAACATGGCCCCTCGTTGGGCAAGTTGGTGACCTCTGAAACTGAGCTGAGCTGGGTATGTGATCAGGACCTGGGTGGGGTTCAGGGGTGTGGCCTGGCCTGGGTGGGGCTGATCAGTTTCTTTGTGGTCAGATGGAGGGCTGTGGTTGGTGCTGCTGAGCATATGTGATCACGAGTGGGGTGTGGCCTTAGTGGGCCTTGGTCATTAGAATTGGGTATTATTATTCAATCCCTGATCTCAGGGCTGGGTTCATGGAGGGTGTGTTTGTGTGCTGTGGTCACAAGCACAGATCTGGAGCCAAACTTCCTGGGTCTAAATCCTGGTGCCACCACTTCTAGCTGGGCAACCTTGGAAAGAGAATCTAACTTCTTTAGGCCTCAGTTTCTTCATCTGTAGAATGGGGATAATCATGGCACCTTATTATTACAGGGTTCCTGTGAGGAGTACTTGGCATTTGCTGTTGTTATTTGTCATTGCTGTTATTGTCAAGATTGGGTGGGGGTCCAAGCAGAAAATGTGGGCAGAGATTTAGATCAGGGTGCTACGTGTATTGTCAGAAGGAACAGCCAGACTCCCATCCCTGGCTGGACTAAGGATCCCAACGTGTTTTCTGATAATCTCGGAATTTGGGAACCTACCGTCAGGTTGGGGAGGCAGCATAGGAAAGTGATTAAGGACACAGCTCTGGAGCTTGACTCCTGGGTTAAGGGCACGACCCCTGTTACTATAGGACTTAACCTTTCTGGGTTTCAATTTTCCCACCTGTAAAATGGTTTTTTCAAGGAGTCAGCAGCAGGTGCCTAGAGCAGAGACCAACAGTCAGCAGCACTCTACCGCTGTCTGCTGGGGTGGCAGTGTTGGAGGGCAGTGGGGGCCAGCTTCCAGGAGCTGCAGGCCTGCCCTCTCTGCCCAGTCCCCCCGCCCCCCGTGGTCTGGTGCTCTTCCCAGTGCTGACTGTGCTTCTGTACAGGCCTGAAGCTGGGCATGGAGCGCGATGCCTACGTCATGATCTCGGAGAAGGGTGAGAAGCTCTACCACATGATGATGAACAAGAAGGTGAACCTGATCAAGGACCGCCGGAGAAAGCTCAGCACCATCCCCAAGTGCTTCCTCGGCAAGTGAGTGGCCCCACCCTGGCCTTCCCAGGTCCCTGGGATCTCACCTGGAGGTGGGGCAGACCATTCACACACCCACCCACGCAGTTGGCCCTTCCCAGCCCTGCCCCTTCCTCCAGGAGCCCTCCTGGGCAGAGCCACTAAAGGACCCGAATCCTTATAGAACAGCCCTCAGAGGTCAAGAAGACCAGCAGTGGTCTGTCTCCATGTCAGGTCTCTCAAATTTGTTTGACCACTACCCAATGCAAAGCATAAGTTTTACATTGTGACCTGGTACACACATTCATGTAATACATGCTTAAAGCGAGGTTTCACGTAACTTACTGTGCGTGATACACTCTGAAAATATCTGTCTTCTCTTCTTTCTATTCTATTGAAGTTGCTTCTTCATTCATTTCAAAAATAATGCTGGCAAGACCCATGAGCTTGGTTTCACAAACCACTCATGGGTTGCCCAATGTGGTTTGCAAAATGCTGCTACAGTACTCAGGAAAAGAGAGGCCACTGTAGATATTTCAGGCAGAGAGCTATTTAACACAGGGATGGGATTCCAAAGGTGCAGAAGGGCTGGAAGAACACAGGTCACTTGGGCTGCCATAACAAAGTACCATAGGCTGGGCAGCTCAAACAACCGGACTTTATTTTCTTGTAGTTCTGGAGGCCAGAAGTCCAAGATCACGGTGTTGGCAGGGTTGATGTCTGGTGAGGCCTCTCTTCCTGAGTTACTGAGAAGTAGGTGGGGAGGGTCCTGTAAGCTCTTCCGTGCTCAGGGCCTCCACATTCTCTTTTTAGGAAATACGAGGGTACTTCAAAAAGTTTATGGAGAAATAAAATGAAAAGGTAGTACGAATCTTTCTGTGAACTTCTCGAAAGTACCCCATTTTATAACCAAGGCTCAAAGGGGTCAGAACAAAGTGTAACAGACTGGATCTTAAACTCAGGTCTCGTGGTGTTAAATCTCACTTACCTGGGGCAGAGGGCTGGGGAGTGGGAGAGGCTGAAGAGATCCAGTCCTCCTATGATTGTCAAACTGTTTTGAGGCCCTACTGTGTGCTAGACACTCTGGAGAGGAAGAACACTGAGGGCTTCTGACCTCTGAAGCTTGTGGTCCAGCTGGGGAGAGGTTTGCCTGTGAGGTGGGGACTTTGCTGAGAATTTAATTTATACCCCACCCACTTCCCAACAGCTTTTGGAGAGGCCTAGGACGAAAGCTACTGTATTATTATAGTGCAGGACAGCAGGTGAGAGGTGACTGGGACTAGGCTTGAACTAGGACAGTCACAGTGAAAATGGGGAGAAGGGCTTCCATTCTAGATAATTTTGAAGGTAAAAGCATTTGCTGCTGGGGTGAAAACAAAAGGGATCTAAGGATGAGCCAGTGGGAGCTGGAGCTGATGCTTTGAGAAGAGGAAGAAGACGGTGGGAGGAACAGGTTTCAGGGGCATGGGTGGAGCTCAGGCATGCAGCTGTGGACGGGTCACATTCCAGACTTGGGGAGCAAAGTCTGGGTTGGAGACCTGAGTGCAGGAGATGGTATTTAGATCATCTTTAGAGCCAGGAGACCTAATGAACTCTGCAAGGAAGCATGTAGAGAGAAGAGATAGGGCTTGGGCCCTGAGCACCAGCAATGTTTGGAGAAACAAGCAAAGGAGTCTGAGCAGAGTGGCCAGAGAGATGGGAGGTGCTTGGGGCACCCCAAAGCCAAGCAAGATGGTGGGGGAGCAGCTCTGAGGGAAGGAGCCAGAGCCTAGCTTTGGACGTGTTAAGGTGGAAATGCCTGGTGGACATTTCTCGTCCAGTATCAGTGCTGGGTAGACCGTTGGAGACAGGTGTGGGGCTGGGGGGGTGCGGCGCTGAGGGCCTGAGGCTTGTGGTTGGAGGGGCAGCAGGTGAGAGGTCTCGGGGGTGGTGGGGTTCCTTGTTGCCCTCAAGGGTCATTGACTCCAGTTCTCAGCTCCCTGGGAGTCCTGTGGGCTGGGGGAGGTGGGGAGGGAACATCCTGGCTGGTCTCCATCAGCTAATCCCTAATCCTGGACGGAAAGAGGGTACCTCTCTCAGGAGGGCTTTGCTTCCGGGCCCTGTGGGCTCGGAGAACCTTCCCGCCTCCTGCCAAACTGCCTAGTCCAGCCGGATGGGATAACAACCTGTGTGTGATTAGAGCTTTGGAGGAGTTTTGTCTCTTCAGGAAGGATTAGGGGAGATTTCTTTTACTGCTTATTTGAACCAGGGCCAGGGTTGCAGCCTGTTTTGTAACCACGAGGCCATGAGGAACATACTCCCCACAGGAGACCATTCTAGCAAAATTCTTTTCCTGGCTCGACTCTGTTCTGCACCCAGCCCCAGCCTTCTAATCCTTCGTTCCTGGCATGGCCCCCCCTACCGAGTCTTTTCCCCAGGACTCGGTGCCCTGGTCCCCTGAGGTGTAGAAACTTGGCCACTGCAGAGAACACAGTTATAGAACCCTGTCTCTGCTCCCTGCACTTGTGTGTGGCCATGTCTTTTAATCCTCACACCAGCATCCCCATGTTAAGGGTGAGGAAACTGAGGCACAGGGAAGGGAAGAGTTCTGCACAAGGTCACACAGCCATGGGGGGTGGGGGTGGGGACTGGGATTTGAACCCGGGACTGTGTGACTCCAGAGCCTGTGCTCTCTGCCACTGTGCTCTGCTGTATTTATTCATTTTTATCTCTATCTATTCAGCACATTTCACTTTTCCTCGATAGTTACTTTCTCCATATCTGTCTCTGCCACTAGACAGGCAACTTTGTAAATTCTAGAATTGTCTGATTTATGTTTATAACTGTCAGGGGTTGGGCTTTGAGTCAGATTTGGGCTTAAGTCTTGGTTCCCCACTTTTTAGCTTTGTGATTTTGGGCAAATTTCTCAATCTCTCTGAGCCTCAGTAAACAGTCAATTAAAGAGATAAAATGTAGCTCATAGGATTGTCAGAGGATACAGTGAGATAACGCATGTGGCATGCTCAGCACAGTGCTGGCAACAGTGATGGAAATGTGTATTGGGCTGTGTACTGTGTGTGATGTGGAAATGGCATATGGAGTGGCCTGTTTCTGTCCTACTCAGAGAAAAAAACAGTAGATGCCACGTTAAAACAAAACAAAACAAGGAATCTGTATATCATTATGGAGAACATCATGGGAAGAACATGGTGTTTGCCCTCTAGCATCCTTAGATTAGTTAGGAAGACAACATAGATTCATTCATTCGTTCATGCATTCATTCTGTGTTTACTGAGCCCCGGCTATGTGCCAGCAGGGAACATGACAGACAAAATCCCTGCCCTTATGGAAATAACCGTCAAGTGGGGGAATCAGACAATAGACAAGTAGACAGATATAAATGAAGAAGGGAATTTCAGTGAGTTGATGAATGCTGTAAGGAAATAAGTAGGGTGATGTAGGGAGGAGAGGAAATGGGGGGCTGGTTCAGCCAGGGAGGGTAGGAGGGGCCTCTCAGGGGAGGCGAAATTTTAACTAAGATCTGAAAGACAAGCAAGAGCCACCCATGAGAAGATCTGGGAAATGGCATTCCTGGCAGAGGGAACAGCAGTTACAAAAGCCCTGAGGCTGGAGTAAGAAATGGAGGAACAGCGAGGAGGTCAGTGTGGCTGTAGGTAGTGAGTGGCTGGAGTGGTGGGAGACAAAGCCCCTGGAGTTAGCAGGGGCCAAATCAGGCAGGGCCTGGCTAAGGGGTTCAGATTTTATTCTAGGTGCTCTGGAAGCCACTGGAAGATTCTCAGCAAGGGAGCTAGAGGAGGATGTAACTCATCAGACAGGCCCAGAGTGAGGGCACCATTGGAGCTGCTAGAGTTAGGGGACCAGGTGTGACAAGGTGTGTCTGGCAGGGGTAGTCAGGGAAGGCTTCCTTGAAGAAGAAGGTCTTTGGTTTCACCCTTGACAGAGGTTAAACATCATTCAGTTATTTATTTTTTTTATTATTTTTTTTTCCTTTTTGTCTTTTTTTACTGACCGGTAACGGGATTGCAACCCTCGGTGTTGCGCCCGTACCGGGGACCGGCAACGGGATTGCAACCCTCTGTGTTGCGCCCGCACCGGGGACCGGCAACGGGATCGCAACCCTCTGTGTTGCGCCTGCACCGCGTGCTCAGCCAGTGAGCAGGAACCGGTCTCCACATGGGATCTGAACCCTCGGCGGGAGCGCCGCTGCGTTCCCAAGCGGCGCACTCTCCAGTGCGCCACTGGGCCGGCCCATCATTCAGTTATTGACATCCAGAATGGAAGCTCCGAGGTGGAAGAGGCCTTGCTGTCTTGTCCACCTGTGTGCACAGGTGCAGGCTGTTAGCGTGTGCTAGAGGATCAGTGATTTGTCAGACCTCGCTGCAGACATCTTCAGAAAGCATCCTTGAGCAGTGGAGTTACAGGGGTGAATATCAAACCCCCAGCCCCTGCCATCTTAGAGCTCACGGCCTGTGGAGGAGACAGGCAAGAAAAGGGATTCTAGTGCTGGGGAGTACGTGGTACATTGGGCCTCATCTCAGGCAGCTTTCTTAGGAAGGCTGCAAGGACATACCTTATATTCCTCATGCCCAGCCTTGGCCGTGACATGTAGTAGGCTAAATAAATGTTTACTGGGTGAATGATTTAAGGGGGCAGAAAGGAAGGAGGGATGAAAGCTGACATTCTAACTCTCAACTAGTCCCCCATCCCTGAATCTCAAACGCCCCATCAAGCTAGGCTGACCTTCTGCCTGTGTCCAGCTCACCTCACACTGTTCTGCGTGATGTCTTTCTGGAAGCCTAGACCTTGCTGCTCTTTGCACCACAGGCCCCCAGCCCCCGGCAGATTGCTGCTTTCCTAACCTTACTTCGCACTCAGGGCCTTTGTGTTTGTTGATCTCCCTGCCTGGAACACCCTTCCCTGCACCCCATTGCTGGCAAACCGACAGTTCAAAGGTGTGTTTTCCTTGGCTCACATAGTGTTTTCAGAAAATGCTGAATTAGATATCAACATTTAACAATTGGGAGATTTTACAGGAAATGCCGGATTTCCGCCTTCTCTTGAAAAGCTGTTAGATGCTTTTAGTGTTCCCAGTCGGCCACACTGAAGAGTGGCTGCCTCATCAGATGTGGCAGGCGCTGGCTGGTTCGGCACAGTTTCCACCTGGTCTGTTTCGCCTATTTATGAGAGTTTGCGGTTCCTGCAGTAGAGATGAATTTTATTTGGCTTTGTATCTGGATCCCAGCTTAAGATTTCATATGATTAAAAAGTTTACCTGTTAAATCCAGAATACCCCTGAGTAAACCACTTGCCAGATGGATCCTGCTGAGGCCTAGAGAGGGAACCCTCCTTGATCCCCAAGAAGGTGGCTAGACCCAGCTTGGGCAGAAACATGGGTCGAAATTGCTGTCTTCCTCACTGTCTTCTGCCCCAGCAGCTGCTGTGGGACCCTTCCTTTCCCCCTATCCTGGCCAGAGGGCTGCTGATCACTGCCAGAGGTGGCCTGTTTGGGCAGTGGGGCGCCAAGTCTCCAGCTTCCGAGAGTGGGCATGCGAACATCTGTTCACCTCCTTCAGGCCCCAGGCAACTTCAGGGGCTGGCAACTTTCTCCCTATCCCGGAGTTTTGGGACTTTGAGAATAGAATTGGGGGTGGACAGGACCCAGAACAATCTCTTCGCCACGCAGGGCTCTTGCTCCACAAAATAAATCCATTTTTCTACACCCCTCCTCGGCCTCCAAGTGGGCTCTCTGAATGCCTTAGCACACACTGCTACCTACACATGAAGCAGGTCTTTGCTCAGCTAAACACTGGGAAGTTAAAAATAGCCCTGCCCCCCTCTGGCCCTGTAATTGGAGGCGGGACAGCTGGTTTCGATAAGCAAAGCTCTGCACTGTGGCCAGCAGCCGCCTGCTTTCATTGAACACAGATTGCTGTGGCGGAAACAGTCCCGTTCCAGGCTCTCCCTTTTCCTGCTGACTTTGAGGGGGCTGAGCTCTGTGCTGAGCCCAAGAAGCACCCCCGAGATCCAGGACCTGGGCCCTGGCTGAGCCGCTGCCCCCGGGCAGTCACATTGGAGTTGGAAAAGCTGCCTGTCTTCCTTTGGCCTGTGAGCACTTCTGTCTCCTGAAACCTTCCTGCTGACCCCAGAACATGCCTTCTTTCAGATGGTTCTTTTCTTCATTTGTTCAATAAAGGATTATTGAGCCCTGCTGTGCGTTAGTCTCTTTTCTAGGTGCTTGGGATAGTCCTAGGAATAACACAAAAATCCCTACTCGCGTGGAGATCCCATCCTGGTTGGGGGAGATGGCCAATAAACACAAATAAATCTGTGAACAAGATAACTTCAGACAGTGATAAGTGTGAAATAGAAAGTAACACAGGGGCATGAGATGGATTGTGTTGTGGTAGGGGACTACTGCGGAAGAGGTATTCGCCCTGAGACCTGAAGGGTAAAAAAGAATGGCCACATGAAGAGTTGAGGAAGGGCCTTTCCAGGCAGAGGGAGTAGCAAGAGCAGAGGCCCTGAGGCAGGAGGGAGTCTTGTGTGTTTTGAGAAGGGAAAGCTGGTGCGTGTGGTCAAAGTGTAATAGGTGAGAGGTGGAGGAGCTTCAGTCAGCTAGGGTGGGGGCAGACCATGTGGGTCCTTGTCGTCAGCAGGCAGAGTTTGGATTTTTTTTTTTTTCCTTTTTGTCTTTTTTACTGACCGGTAACAGGATCGCAACCCTCGGTGTTGCGCCCGCACCATGCTCAGCCAGTGAGCGGGAACCGGTCTCCACATGGGATCCGAACCCTCGGCGGGAGTGCCACTGCGCTCCCAAGTGGCGCACTCTCCAGTGCGCCACCGGGCCGGCCCAGAGTTTGGATTTTTTTCTAAGTAATGGGGAAGGCTATTGGAGGGTTTTAAGTATGGAAATAACGTGATTTGATCACCATCAGCTCTCCTGACTCCCCACAATCATCTTTCTGGGCCCCTATCATTTCTTTCTGCTTGCTTACTCATTCCTTTGTTCATCTGTCCTTTCACTCATCCATCTACCCAGTCATCTGTCCACTTACCACCTACTCACGTTCTCCTCCACCCACGTCCACTGACCTTCCCATCCATCTGGTCATTTATCTCTCTATCAAGTTATTCATCCATCTATTCATCTAGTCACCCATTTACATATTCACCCATGCGTCTGGCTGTTCATCCATCCATACACCACCATCCATCCCTCCATCCATCCATTCACCCATCCATTCATCCATCCTTCTTCCCATCTATCCATTCATCCCTCCATCCCTCCATCCCTCTATCCCTCTATCCCTCTATCCATCCATCAGTTCATTCATCTGTCCATCCATCCATCCATCCATCCATCCATCCATCCATCCATCCATCCATCCCCATCCATCCATCCATCCATCCATGCAGACATCCATCCACCTACGCATCTCCTTGCCTGCCCTATTATCCATCCACCTACTCATCCATGCATTCATTCATCTGTCCTTTCACTCAGTCACCTATCAACCCATCTATCCACCCATCTACCTATCAATTCACCCACCTACCCACCCACCTGCCTGCCTGCCCAATCACCCTTCCTTCCTTCCTTCCTTCCTTCCTTCCTTCCTTCCTTCCTTCCTTCCTTCCTTCCTCCCTCCCTCCCCCCCCCCCCCCCCCTGCCTGCCTGCCCAATCGCCCTTCCTTCCTTCCTTCCTCCCTCCCTCCCCCCCCCCCCCCCCCTGCCTGCCTGCCCAATCGCCCTTCCTTCCTTCCTTCCTCCCTCCCTCCCCCCCCCCCCCCCCCTGCCTGCCTGCCCAATCGCCCTTCCTTCCTTCCTTCCTCCCTCCCTCCCCCCCCCCCCCCCCCTGCCTGCCTGCCCAATCGCCCTTCCTTCCTTCCTTCCTCCCTCCCTCCCCCCCCCCCCCCCCCTGCCTGCCTGCCCAATCGCCCTTCCTTCCTTCCTTCCTCCCTCCCTCCCCCCCCCCCCCCCCCTGCCTGCCTGCCCAATCGCCCTTCCTTCCTTCCTTCCTCCCTCCCTCCCCCCCCCCCCCCCCCTGCCTGCCTGCCCAATCGCCCTTCCTTCCTTCCTTCCTCCCTCCCTCCCCCCCCCCCCCCCCCTGCCTGCCTGCCCAATCGCCCTTCCTTCCTTCCTTCCTCCCTCCCTCCCCCCCCCCCCCCCCCTGCCTGCCTGCCCAATCGCCCTTCCTTCCTTCCTTCCTCCCTCCCTCCCTCCCATTTATCTAGTGAGCCCGAGGCAGGCCTGGGGCTGGTCATACCCACCTATCATTGGTAATGAGGAAAAGCATGAGGTCTCACTGTAAACCCAAAGGGATGTGGAGTCCTAAGCTTTGCTTCCCTGTGGGAAGTTCTGGCTGTTATTCCCAGGGGTGGATGTGGCTGGGCCAGCAGTCCCAGGACTGGGGAAGTCCTCTCAACAGCATCTTATGTTCCTGGCAGTGAGTTTGTTGCCTGGCTCCTGGAAATTGGCGAAATCAGCAAGACAGAAGAAGGAGTCAATTTGGGCCAAGCCCTGCTGGAGAATGGTATCATCCACCATGGTGAGTAGGGGGCTGGGCCGAGGGGCAGGAACAGGCCAGACCCCAGCAGTGCTGTGCTCCATAAATCTTCCATGCAGCCACCCCATGACCGGGCACACTGTGGGCCTGGGAATGTGGATGCCCTTGTAAAACTGCTTCCAGGGCTGGGAAGCCCAGCATTCACCTAGGGAGCCAGCAAAGCAGGGACACCTCAAAAAGTTGGGGGCAGAGGAGTAGAATTTTCTATCTGTTCCTTCAAAAAAGGCAAAACCCATGAGATTAAGTTTTAGTCATTCAACAAATATCTGTTGAGAGCCTATTATGTGGCACTGTCCACAAGCAACAGACAGGACAGGTGGGCATTCTTGTCCTCATGGTGCTGACCTTGTAGTTGGAGGGGAAGGTAATGAACAAGATGATTAAACATGCATGGGCAGGCGGTGCTAAGAAAAGCGTGTCGGTAGTGGAGTGCACTTTTGAGTAGGGGAGTTGGGAAGGCCTCACTGTGGAGGGGACAGTGGAGTGAGGACCTGAGAGGTGACGGAGAGAGCCAGGTGGGCATTGTGGTTCCAGACAGGGGAACAGCCAGTGCCAGGTCCCCAGCAGGAGGCTAAGGGGCTTGTTCAGGGAATGGCAAGGAGGCCAGTGGGGCTGCCTCGGAATGAGCTGGGGGAGTGGTAGGAGATGAGGTCAGAGGGCATGGGGCTGATGGGGAGAGTCTAGGAGATGAGGTCCAGGGCCTTTTTGGGGATTGTAGGGTCTTTGGCTTTTCCTCTTAGTGAGATATACAGCCTTTGCTGAGTTCTGCATAGAGGAAAGACCTGCTCAGACTTACAGAGAGTGGTCTTTTGGAGCCAAGGGTGGCAGCCGGGAGCCCAGTGAGGAGGCGGCTGTAATAGTCCAGGTGGGACTCGCACCAGGGGGAGAGTCAGATTCTTAGTATCTTAAAGGTTAGGACCTTACAGGATTTGCTAATGTGTCCAAAGCATCAAGGACGACTTCAAGGCCACTGCATAATGTTGGTTCCCTAAATCCGACAGTGCATACGTCTTTTGGGGGTCTAGGTCCAAGGACATGCTGAGCCAGATGGGTCCCAGAGCAGTGTGGATCTGGGACATTTCTGGACCACTCACTTCTGCGGATGCCCCAGCTCCAAGCTGCAGATCTCAGCAGGGCCCTGCACATAGCAGGAGGACCTAGTTTCCTCATCTGCAGAACAGGGAAATAACAGCACCCTCCTTACTGGAGCATGGGTGGGGGTTTCAGTGAGATCGTGGCTGGCACAGAGTCTGGCCAAGTGAAGGAGGATGCTGGTGGCCGTGGGCTGGGAGGGGCCATACGTGGCCTCACCAGCCCCTTGGGTCCCTGCAGTTTCTGACAAGCACCAGTTCAAGAATGAGCAGGTGATGTACCGCTTCCGCTACGACGATGGCACCTACAAGGCCCGGAGTGAGCTGGAGGATATCATGTCTAAGGTGGGGGCCCCTCCACCCTGACCCCATGACTCTGACCCAGCAGCCTTGTGTAGATCCACCTCTGAGGTCACTACACAGCAGGCCTGTGCCCAGTGGCCTGTCCTCCTCTGCGGCCCCCAGCAGCCCTTACACCCCCTGCTCTGTCCTGGCAGCCATCTCTCCCAGAAGCCTGGATTTGGAGGCCCCTAAAGGATGTGGCCTGATCCCAGAATCCCCCCCCCCCCTTTTTTTTCTTTCAGGGTGTGAGGCTTTACTGCCGTCTTCACAGCCTCTACACCCCAGTGATCAAGTAAGTTGCTCTCTCCAAGCTTCAGTTTCACATCTGCCTCTTCTCAGCTGGGTGGCCTTGGGCCGTCAGCTTAACCTCTCTGAGCCCCATTCTCCTTTGGCTAGTAATTGCGCCTGCCCTGTAGGCTTCTCATTAGGATTAAGGGGGTTAATTTGTGGGAAGCACTGCAGTGTGGAGGTGAAGGGGGTCAGTTCTGGGGCCACACAGGCTGAGTGTGAATTAGACTGCTAGTTACCAGCTGTGTGACCTTGGGCAGAGTCACCTAAGCTCCCTGTGCCTCAGTGGGATGGGGACTGTAATGGGATCCACCTCAGGCCTCTGTGCTTGCTGCTCCCCCTGCTTGGAATGCTGTCCCACCACATGTCTTTATATTTGCTGCCTTCCTTCCTTCAAACGTCTCTTTGTCAGAGGGGTCATCCTGGCCATCTTTATGAAGTGTCACCACCCTGGCCCTCTGTCCTGTCACCTCACTTTGGTTTTCTTCTCAGCACGTGTCACTACTCGGCATGTTATGTATGTATTTACCTGTGCACTCTGTCCTCCCCACTGAACTGTAGACTCACTGAGGGCGAGCGTGTTACCACCTTGTCCCCGCGCCCTGAACAGCACCTGGAGCAGCGTGGTCCAGTAGGACTTTTTGCACTCACTGAAATGCTTGATATTTGCATTTTTCTGATACGGTAGCTACTAGTCACATGCAGCTTTCGAACAGTTGAGACTGAGGAATGTGAGTTTTTAATTTGATTTAGTATTATTACTTGATTGAAATTTAGATTAAAATGGCTACATATTAGAGAACACAAGCCTAGGGCAAAGTAGTACTTAGTAGATGTTTGTCGAGTGACTGTTGAAAGGTGATTAGTCTCTTTTACCCCTGTTTCTGTATCTGTGAAGTGGCCCTAAGAATAGCTTACGCTTCTTGGGTTGTCATGAGGGTGAGGATTTGTCAAGCTAGGGCTAGGGCTCACAGACCCTTCAAGCCCGTCGTACAGACTGGGTCACAAATCCTTCACACACAGGTCCATGAGCTAGGTAATAGGAAAAGATCCTGGGAGCCATGGATAAAAAATTAATAGGCTTTGCTCAGAGCTAGGCCACCTAGTGGCCTCTTGGAGTGTCCCAAGAAGTGCCATGTATCAGAGCAGTTAGTCCTTTATACTTAGGTCCATAACCCAGGACACCTGGGTGCCCATACGCAGTTACATTAGATAATAACCTAGGAACACCTGGGTGCACGTGGATATTTACATCAAATGCTCGGCAAGATTCTGAACATCTGAGGGGCCATGACCATTTTCCTCTATTTTCCCAACAGGATTAAATTCACAGGAGGTGCTTCGAATAGCTCCTGGCGCTATAAATGCCAGCGATGGTTGGTCTCTTTTCCACGAAGCTTATAGTTGTGGATGCAGGGACAGAGAGGGTGACCCGATTCTTATCCCAGCAGCAGGTTCCTCTGCTCCCCCATCCTGATAGCTCTTATCACTGTTCAGAGCAGTGGAGAGGAGGGACCTCTCCCAGTATTTGCTGGCCCACTGTGAAGTCAGGCTCCGGAACCACTTTCATCTCCAGACCCGCCTCCTCCCTCCTCAGGCTCCTCCACCCCAGCTCTTGTGCAAGCCCCAGAAGGCGGGCAGGCTCCTCCGTCAGCCCCCGGAGAAGGGAGCGGCTGGGAGGGCAGCAGCCTCCACTCCCGGCACCGTGGCCTGCAGGACTCCCCAGTTCCCTAAGCCTGAGAAAAATTCTCCAACAAGAATTTCTTTATCAGCCTTGACACGTAAACTCTTTCTTTCTGAGGCTCTGAGGCTGACAAAAATTGCAATTTTGTTGCAAGGTCCCATCTATTAAAGCTCAGCAGGAATTTAGACACCGAAGCAGGTCAGAGCCTTGAGCTCAGGAAAGAACCACGAACCTCACAGGCCCCTGCTCACTGTGCAGTCCTGATGGCCCACACCAGCCCCACAGAGAGAGCTTTCTATGTCAGTACAGTTTGTCACCTTCAAACACATGAACATCAACAACAAAAGAGGAAAAGCAAAGGAAAGAAGTGAGAGTTTTTCTTGCTACTCCATTAGAGCACATCAGGGTTCCTTGGCCTCGGCACTAGTGACATTTGGCCAGCATAAATCTTTGTTGTGGGGACTATCCTGGGCATTGTAGGATTTTCAGCAGCGTCCCTGACCTCTACCCACTAAATGCCAGTAGCACCCCCTGGACCCCCAGGTCATGGCAGCCAATAATGTCTCCAGAAATAGCCAAGTGTTCCTTGGAGGGCAGAATTGCCCCCAGCTGAGATCCCCTGGGCTAGAGAGAGAGTGTGTGTTTCTAGAACTACTCCAGAGCCATCTCCTCTTGCCCCCTCACCCTATGAGCTGGAGCATCCCTGCCCTAGGTCACATTGCAAGTTTGGTGTGGAGTCTGGGCTGAGACTCAGAACCCCTGACTGCCTGTCCAGTGTGCCCCCTCCCTGCTCCCATGCCTAGAGAGCCTAGCAACCCTTGACTCCTGAGTATTCAGGCAGGGACATCAGGACTGCTCCTGTCTCCATCCTCCTCACTCGATCACGTGTGCTTGTTCTCCGCAGAGACCGCGATTACCACCTGAAGACCTACAAGTCGGTGCTTCCTGGGAGCAAGCTGGTGGATTGGCTGCTGGCTCAGGTGAGGATGCGCTCAGAGCAGGACGACCAGCCTCTGGCTTTGCCCAGGGCCAAGGGGCTTCTTTGGATGCCGGGCTTTTGTTTTTTTCGTTTTTTAAAAAATTTTTCTATTACTATTTTTAATGGTGGCAAAACATACATAACATGAAATTTAGCATCTTAACCATTTTTAAGTGCACAGTTCAATGTGTTAAATACATTCATATTGTGCAACTATCACCTGCATCCATCTCCAGAACCCTCTTCATCTTCCCAGCTGAAACTCTGCACCCAACACCCACATCCCCCTCCCTCCAGTCCCTGGAAGCAACCATTCTGTGTTCTGTCTCTGTGAATGTGACTACCCTAGGTACCTCATATAGGTGGAATCATACAGCATTTGTCCTTTTATGACTGGTTGATTTCACTCAATGTTTTCAAGGTTCATCTAGGTAGCAGCATGTGTCTTAGTCTGTTTGTGCGGCTATAACAAAATACCTGAGACTAGGTATTTATAAAGAACAGAGATTTAGCTTTGAGTAAAGAAAAAAAAAAAAAAAAAAAAAAAAAAAAAAAAAAAAAAAAAAAAAAAAAAAAAAAAAAAAAAAAAAAAAAAAAAAAAAAGAAAGAAAGAAAGAAGAAAAAGTAAAAAACAAAAATCCAGAAATTTGTTTCAAATAATGCTGGAGGCTGGAAGTTAAAGATCAAGGTGCTGGCGGGTTTGGTTTCTAGTAAAGGCTTGGTCTCCACTTTCAAGATGGTGCCCTGTTTCTGTATCCCCTGGAAGGAAGGAATGCTGTGTCCTCACATGGTGGGAAGGATGGAAGGGGCGAATTCTCCTTGTCAAGCCCATTTATAAAGGCACTGATCCCATTCATGAGGGTGGAGCCCTCATGACTCAGTTACCTCCTAAAAGCCACATCTTTTAATACTGTTGCATTGGAGATCAAGTTTCAACACGAGTTTTGGCGGGGGCAAAAACATTCAAATCATACCACATTTTGTTTATCTGTTTATTTATCGATGGACACATGGGTTACCTCCACATTGGGGCTTTTTGTTTTAAAACTGGGACAGTCTCTGAAAAAATTTGGACAGGGTGGTCTCGTCCTGGCACTAAACTGGAGCTTCTGTACAAAGCTTGCCAAGTTATTCCTTTCAACAAGGTTCCCAGTGGGTAGGGGATGGCCAGAGGCGTGGAAAATTTATGCATTAGTTTTTCTGCAACTTCTTGGAGGGGTTTGCTCCATTGAGGTGTCCCTGTCTGCTGTCACTTCTTCTTTATGGCTCCTAATTACAGGGCTCATGCCCAAGGCCAGGCCCTGGCTGAGTTTCGTGCATTATCTTTATGAGTACTCCAAACCATTTACAGACAGGGAACTGGGACCCAGAGAGGCCGAGTGCCTGGTCCAAGGGTACATAGCCTTACAGCAGCAAAGCCAAGACTAGGACAGGCCTATCTTATCCACTTGGGCCTCAGTTCTGCCTATTTTTCAGGGAGCCTGTCAGAATGTTCATTTGAGGTCTGTAAAAAGAATGTGTTGGCTCCAAAAGATGAGAAGACACCTGCAAAATCAAAAGGGATAAATGTTTAATTAAAACATCTGCAGAGTACAGCTTTAAGTCAGCCTCATTAATTGTTAAATTCAGCATTCATAAAAACTTCATTCCATTCAAAAACAATCTGCTGGTTGGATTTTCTCACGTTGCACGAGTTCCTGATGATTGCTAGGAAATCATAGCCAATCTGTAAAGTAAATGTTTCTTGGTATCAAATGACTTCAAAAGCAAGTTTAGAAAAATCCTTGAAAAAAATTTTTTGACCCAAAAGAATGTATTTAATGTGAGACATGGATGTATTTTAATATGGAACCCTAAGGCCTGGGAGGTCTTGAAAGAGCCTGGATTTGAGTTCAGATTTGCATGTATGGGAAGCGTAGAGCTTCTACATTGCCACCTCTTAGAATGGCATGAATCAGCCCAGAGCATGTGCTTTATTTATAGCCAGGCAGACCTGGGTTTGAATCCCAGCTCTGCTACTTCCTAGCTGAGTGACCTTGGACAAGTTGCTTAATCTGTCTGTTGTCTCAGTTTCCACACCTGCAAAATGAAGCTAAACACAATACCTTCCACTTTAGATTGTTTTGAAGATTCAGTGATTAATCATGTAAAGTGCCTAGAATAGTGCCTGGCACAGAGTAATTGCTCAATAAATGTAACTATTATTATTCTTCTTCTCCTTCAGAAAGGATTCAAGGTAGCTCAGAATTACATGCAGTAGTGAAGGCTGAAGAAACTGCAGAGGGATTTGGGGGCTCAGGAACAGTAAGACCAGGAAACAAAGAGGGTGGAGGCAATCTGCGCAGAGTTCCACTTCCGAATGTGCTGCGAGTAGGTGAGGGGGTGCCACGTGGGCATTTATTCTGTGGTTTAGGTGCTCTGGTCAGAGCCCAGAAAAGCCTGGGTTTTGCGGCTCTCTGAGATGCCTGCTTCTCACTGCTGTGAACTTTTCTGTGGCCTCATGTTTCCCACTGAGCTCCTTTGGTGCCCGGGGGCTACCTGTTGATTTCAAAGCACAATGTGGACATGGCTCCAAGGGGCGAATCCCAGGTGTGAGCTGGGGATGGGCACAGAGATGGCAGGAAGTCGGTGGATCTGAGAAGTATTTGGAGGTGGAGTGGATGGGATGCACTGCTACGGGGGTGGGCTGGGAATCAAGGATGTGTCCTAGGATTTTGGCTCAATGGGCAGATGGCTATGCCATTTACAGAGACAGGAAGACAGGCAAGGATGTGAAGGAAAGGTGGAGCATCTTCCTTGGGTGTGGAAGATGCTGTGTTTGAAGTGCCATTGGCTTTTCAGTGGGTGGGCGGGGACAGGGTGGGCTTTATACACCTGGACCTCAGGTGGCTCTCCACTATAGGTAGTCTGTTCCTGTCAGTTTTTGAGTGATATTTAAAACAAGGGGACTGAAGAGAGTATACAGAAATTAGACAAGAGGGCTCATTAGCTCATCCCTTTATTTAAAAAAAATTTTTTTAAAGCACCTTCTAAGTATCAAGCACTGTTTTAGGTTCTGAGGACACAGCAGTGAACAAGACAGATAAACGTTCCTGCTGTCATGATTCCTAAATTCTGGTGAGGAGTAAGAGAGACATTTAATAAATAAGAAAAGTAAAATACATAATATGTCAGCTGGTGCTTGGTGCCTTTGTGATGGAGAGGAGAGTAGGGGGAGCAAGAAAGGGAATTTATTCCTCACATGGGGCAGGGGTCAGGGAAGGCCAGAATTGAGCAGGGACATGTGAGCGGAGACCTGAGGGAGGTGGGCATCGAGCCCCGGGGACATCTGGGGAGCAACATCTCAGAAGCTTTGAGCAGTGGAGCTCGGTGTGTTTTAGGAGCAGCCAGGGGGCCAGTGTGGCTGGAGTGGTGTGAGCGAGGGTGGGACAGGGGCCGAGGGGAGGGAGGTGACGGGGAGGCTGTGTGCACAGATCATATAGGGCCATCGTGTAGGCCTTACACAATGATGTCGTGTGGCATATAGGACTGTGTTGGCCATTGGAAGGACTGGGCCACTGCAGGGTTTTGAGCATAGGAGGGGCATGTGCGACTTGGGTTTGGATAGGGTCTCTCTGGCTGTGTAAGGAAGACGGGCTGCAGGGACGAGCCTGGCAGCAGGCAGACCAGGGAGGAGATGATGGCAGAATTTTAGGGGAGGGTGGTGGTTAGAACAGGGTGGCCATGGGGAGGGCGAGAGAAGTGGTCAGGTTCTGGGTGTGTTGAAGGTGGACCTGACGGGCTTCTGACGGGTGGATGGGGTGTGGGAGCTGAGAGGCAGAGAGGAATCGAGAATGACCCCAGGTCTCTGGTTTGAGCACATTGGCTCAAGCTGCTGTTTATTGAGCCAGGGAGGCTGTGGAAGGGGCAGGTTTGGGAGAAGTGCAGGCTGTCACCCCAGAAGACTCCAGCTCTTAGAGGCCGTGGTGAGGAGGAACCAGGAGAAGCGACTGCCAGTGATGGTTTCTCTTTGGTGGTTGGTGTTGGGCATAGTGGGGGCCTGCTCAGGGCCAGTGCTGTCAGAGAAGCTGCAGTGCTGGCCAAAGGCCCCCTGGAGTAACTTCAGTCATTGTCACTTGGTCCTGAGGGCTCCCCCCACCTCCACCAGCATCCTATCACAAGTGGAGGCAGGGGGAAGATGGAGGGGCTGGTTTGCAGCTGATTCCAGAATATGTCCATCCCCTTCAGCAGACCTCCCATGGCTTGGCCTGGTATCGGGACCCAGGTAGCTAACTGGAGCTGATGCAGGAGGATGGTTTCCATGAGCCTGTTAGAAAGGCAGCTGGCATCCAGCTCTGGGTGAGGGAATGGGAGAGGGGGATGTGTGTGTGCCTGTGGGGGTCTCTTTGTGGGGGAAGGGTTGGTGGTGAGGATGTGATCTTGAAGATCAGTTATAATGAGTCTTGATTTCAGAAGTCATACCCACCTTGTACCTTAGAAGGAAAAGGAGAAGAACGTGTAATTGTGCAGTTCAGGAGGGTTTTTTTGTTTTTGCTTTGGACACATCTTCATTTCAAACTTCTAGGTCATTCTGCTCCTTTGAAACAAAATGATTGATTAAATTCCTGCTGGATCAGTTAGAAATGCTTTTGGCTGCACAAAAGAGGAAGCATGACTTGTGCAGTAAAGACATATTTCTCCCATAACTAGATGTCTGGAGTTCACGGTCCTAGAGCTCAACAATGCTATTTGAACCCAGACTTCTTCTGCCTTTCTGTTCTGCTGTCTGCTTAGTTTTTTTGCCTCATGATCACAAAAATGGCTGCCACAGCTCTGGACATCACATCTGTGCAGAACTATGGCCAACAGCAGGCAGCAGAGATAGTTGAAGAATGCTTTTTTATTCCTTTTATTAGGGGAGGGAATCTTTCCATAGTCTTCCCCTGCACCTCCGATCCCCAGTGGTCTTCCCCTGAGGTCTCATTGGCCAGATGGGTCCCACATGTACCTCCAAACCAGCCCCTGGTGGGGAGAACAGGGGTTGCTGAGAGCAGTGTGGAATTCCTTGGTTTTATCCCTTGAGGCTTGGGGAAGGGCTGGCTACTCACCACCCAGATGAATCAGAGTTTTAACTATGAAAATGAAGGGGACATTAGCCCTTGGATGGACAGGTTATGCTCTAAATCACCAGTTCTGATCTGATGTGCTCTGCGTATTATCTTATTTAATCATCAGAACAGCCTGAGGAAGGTACAGTTATTATCTCCATGCAGGTTATGTAACTTGTCTCAGGGTGCACAGTCATCAGGATACTCACTGTAGGATGCTCTGTGCATGTGTGCACGTGTTGGGGGTTGTCATGATGCCTTGATAGTCAGTGACAATAATGTTCTGTATTAACAGTAGCTGATAATATAGAGTCTGAACAGGGCATATCTCTCAGGGGTGGCAGAGGCCTTGGAGAATCAAGGGCAAATCTGAGAATAAAAACAGATGAGGAAATGAAGCTCAGAGAGGTTGAAGGATTGTCCAAGGTCACAGCTAGGGGAGCAGGGGTTTGAACTGGGGAACACAGCTCCGGCGTTCACTCTCTTCACTTCTCTGGTTGATGGTTTTGGGGTCTGTGCCACCTGGGCTCCAGGATGCCCCTGGCCGCAGCTATCTCATGGAGCGCAGGGGGGTCAGTGGATGGGTGGGGGGAAGAGAGTGGGGGACAGGCCAAGGAGATGAGTGCAGAGGGCACAAACCTGCAGACTCCTGTGCTGGCTCAGCAGAAACGTGCCCGGAGTGGCCTCCACGCTGATTCTCGCGATCAGGCAGGTGGCGGATGCTGACGGCAGCAGGGTCCTCAGCAGGGGTAGAGGGGACCAGGGTGGGAGAGGCAGAAGGCCAGGCTGGCAGCTCAGGGTTCCAGAAGAAGAGACAAAGGACAATGAGGACAGGAGCTCTGGCTGCAACCCTGGGCAACTCGCTGCTCCTCTGAGCCATTTTCCCTATCTGTGACGTGGAGGCGGGGAGCTCTGAAAGGCCTCCGTTGTCACTGTGCACCCTTGGGCAAGCTTCCTCTTCTGTTGAGTGGTATTAATAAGAGTGATTGCCTCTGGGCCAAGCATCCAGCCTGAGTGAGATCATGCAGCACCTGGCTGGTGGTCAGTGAGAAGCATCCTTGGACATTTTTATGGGGTCTCAGAATTCTTGGGCAGAGAACCTTCAGAGGCACTGCATGACTCACACCCTTCCTGCCAGATGTTCATCTCCCAGCCCTGCTTGGCCTCTGCCACCTGCATTCCAGGTGCAGGTTATTTCCCTAATGAAAAATAATTAAGCAAGAGTAGCTAACATTTATCAAACCCTCCTTGTGTATCTGGCTTTGGGCTGAGAGTCTTGCATGGAGCATCTCATTTAATCTTCACAAGGCCTCTGTGAGGTGTGGACACAATTATATCCCCTGCCGTTTTAGAGAGACAGAAACTGAGGCATAGAGAGGTGGGTTCAGAATCAGTTTCCAAATTGGCTCCCCTCCCCTCTCCACCCTTCCCTTCTCCTTTCCTTCCTTCCTTTTGTTTTTTGTGCCCCTCCAAGTGCTGGATATTGAGCTTTGATGTGGGGAGACAAGGGGAAAAGTGACTTGGCATGGTCCCTGCCCATGCAGAGCTGACACTCTGGGGGAGACAGACCTTAAACAACATTAATAATTGGTGAATTTCAGATCATGGCAGTGCAGCATAGATACCACACAGGGTAACGAGAGTGTGTAGCTGGAGGAGTATTTGTTGAGAGGACATGTGGTGGAGAGGTTGGGGGGCTACTTTAGAGTAGTTAGGGCAAGAGCTCTCTGAGGAGGTGACATGGGTGCTGATACCCACAAAGCCAGGGCCTGGGCCTCCAAGGAGAGAAGCGAGCATGTGCAAAGGCCCTGAGATGTGGAAGGAGCAGTAAGAGGCCAGTGTGGCCGGAGCAGGGGCCAGCGGGCGGATAGGGGAGATGCGGCAGAGAAGGACAGCTGGTGAGATGATACATGCTGTGCCTTCCTCCAGGAGGGGAGGAAGTGCTGCCTCCAGTGACTGCTGCTGGAAGTGGCTGGGCTTACTCTTAGGAAGTGCACCCAGGGCCTTCTACTTCACTCTTACCCTGAGAATCCCATGCTATTCCAACTTTAGGAGCCTTCTGTCAGCAGCCCCAGGGCCGTTTTGGGAAAAGAGGGTGGGACTGGGCTGGGCTGCAGGCTGTGAGCACCTCAAAAGCCAGGTGGGCTCCAGACGCCTGTGCTGGGCGTGCCGGTCACCTGGGCCCCAGTTGGCCCTCCCCTGCTGGCCCATCATGGCTGGGGGCAGCTGCTCTGGATGTGGCCTGTCACAGCCACCTCCCCTGCTGGCTCCGAGCACACTCCCAGCCCTCTAGCCACTGACTTGGGGGTCCCCTGGGAGAAATTTGTCTTTTTTGAGTCAGCCTCAAGCAGGCAGTAAAATACTGAGGCCAGAGGCTCTCACTGGGCCAATGCTCAGGGCTGAGGCCTACAGCTGGAGTAGTGTTTGTGTCTCCATTAGCTGGGAAGTACCCTCCACAACCCTCTGGCTGCTGACCAGAGATGCCTGAGGTCTGCTGCTTCAGGAGGGGCCTCTCAGAAGTTCTCCCTTTGGGAGTTGTTCCAGTGAGCAGAGGTCTCAGGCCTCAGGGCTGTCTGGATGCAGTTGAAGCTCATTGGCCTGTCTACAGGCTCCTCCATGATCGGGCCCCTGCTGACAACTTTCTTACTTGGTCAGCATATATTTATTGAGCACCAACTATATGCCAGACCCTGTTCCCAGCACCTAGGATTGAGCCCGGGGCACTGCAGCTCAATTCCTTGCCCTCTTGGACCTGGCCTGGCTCATCCTCTCCTTGCTAGATGTGTTGCCACCTCTGTACCTTTGCCCATGCTGTTCCCTCTGCTTGTACCTCTTCCCCTTCACATGTGCACATGCGTGCACACACATGCACACACACACACGCACACGCACACACACACACACAACTCACACACTTTGCCTGGATGTATTGAGATTATTTGGGTTGCAAGCAACAGAAACAGACTGGCCAATTTTGGGGGGGTGGAGGAGACCCACTGGAAGGAGGTGAGGCACCCATGGTGTCAGGGGAGACCTAGGAGGCAGGCCTTAGAAAGAACTGGCACCAAAAAACCTACCAACACACAAAATAGACAAAAAGAAAGAACTGGCATCAGGAAGTTCCAAGAAGCTGGTGCTGAGGTCACTGTCTTCGGGGTCCCATCTGCAGGACACTGTGTTGGGGGAACCAGCACCTACTGTGCTCTGTCCTGGATTCCTCCACTGGATTCCTCCACTCAAGTGTCATGTTCTTGGGGCAGGGAGCATTCCACTGTCTAGAAGGAATCATGTGTCCTCAGCCAGGCCCAGAGGGAAATAAACCTTGATAGACTGTCCCACCCAGATGACATTCCACATGGGAGGGTTGGCCCCAGAGGTGGAACCAGCAGTTGCCCAGCACACTGACCATGCCTGTTTATTCTTCAGGTTTCAGGTTGAATGCTGCTTTTTGGGGGGCAAGCCCTAGAACAAGCCAGATCCCCCTGGTTCAGGTTCTATCAGTTTGGAATGTTTTCAGTTGCAAGGATAAAAATTCCAACTAAATAGTAACTTAAATACCTGCTGCACATCAGGAAGTATGGAACTCAGTAGTGTCAGTACTGGTTTATGGGTTCAATAGTGTCAGCAAGGACCCGAGAATCTTCTGTCCTTCATTAGCATCTCAGCAATGTCTGCCATCTCGGTCACAAGGTGGCCACCATAGCCACAAACATTACTTCCTCACATGACTGTGTCCCAGGCAGGGAGGGGTGATGTTGCTTTTTCCTTTTATCAGTGTTTTTCAGAAGCCCCTAGTAGGCTTCCTGGGATATCTCAATGACTAGAGCTAGATCGGTCAGTAATTGAACTTGATTTCTAGTATTAGAGACGTATTAGAGACAGATTAGCGTTTATGTTTCTCAAGCTCAGAGGTGGGTGGTCCAGAGCTGCTAGGGCAGTCTCTTGATGTCTTTTGGGACCACACTGTGTCTTTCTGCTCTGCCGTCCTTAGCATGTTTCCATCCTCTAGGGCATGTTGTGGTCTAGGATGACTATAGGAGCTCCAGTCATTACACCTTTGTTCCAGGCAGGAGGAAGAGAAAGAGACAGAGACAAAGGGGTTTTGCCAGAGCACCCTACCAGTGATTTCTACTTGTATCTCTTTGGCCACCTCTAGCTGCAAGGGAGGCTGGGAAGTGGGTAAGGTTGTTATTACTGGGGAGGGATTGGGAAATGGTTGTTACTAGGCAACCAACAGGGTCCCTCAATTAACATCTCAATTTTTCCTTTGTGATGTTTATCACAAGTACAATAAAATAATTTTCTTGTTTAGAGTTTATTAATAATAATCTTGAACATGTTTTGGGGGGTGTACCACAATAAACAAAACAGACAAAAATCCTTGTCCTCATGGGGCCTACATCCTCAGGGAGCCTGTGGAGCTTTTTGCCAGCTGTGCTCTGTTCCTCAGGTGCTGGCCCACTAACACTATCCCCTTTCTGTTCCATTCCAGGGAGACTGCCAGACCCGGGAGGAGGCGGTAGCTCTTGGCGTGGGCCTGTGTAACAACGGCTTCATGCACCATGGTAATCCCTGCCTTGCCCTCAGCCTGGCCTCACAGGGCTCTGTTTCCTGGGCTCTCTGTCTAGAGCAGCTGGTGGTTTGCAGAGGCCCTGGTCCAGCTAATGGGGGGAGAGGGGACACCAAAGCCAGGTCTGAGGCTCCGTAGATGCTTGGGGTTTGGGGCGGCTCACGAATCCCACCTATTTCCCCATCCCTATTCTGCACTGATTGAGAAGTCACTTCAGGTGTCCATTGAGGACCACAATGGCTGGTAAGGCTTGGCTGGAAGCCCATGGACTTGACTTCAAACCCAATCCATGTTTGGAGTCAAGTCCATGGGTTTCCTGTGCCCTTCTTCCTGGATTGGATGTGGCTTCCCAGGGTGGGTGGTGAGGCCGAGGCCAGGCAGTGCAGGCCTGGCCCGAGGGCTTCCATGCAAGGAGAAGAGAAGGATCGTGTGGGGACAGTGGACAGGCGGCTACACGTGTGAGCGGCAGGAAGCCGCGCGGGGCCCTTCCTGGGACCTTCTTGCCTCTTTTCTTGGCCTCACTCCTCAGATAAGTCACTTTTCTTCCCACGAGAATCAACTATGAGGGTTAGAGAGGGGGATGGTCTTGGGATACTCCTGAGGCGGGAAGCTGGGGAGATGGAGGGAGAAAATGGTGCCACTGACACCAGTTTCAACAAAAACAGTCAGTACTCCATGTGCCTGGCCTCTTTCTAAACACTTTTCACGCAATTATTAGTTGAGTCCTAACCACACCCTTTGGTGTTGTTATTAATGTCATCCCCATTTTATAAATGGGGAATAGAAGCCCAGAGCATTAAGGAACTTACTCAAGGTCACATGGCAAGTAGGGCCGGGACTGGGACCCAGGCAGCCTGGCCGCCCAGGCCGCGTGCTCAGCTACTGTGCTCTGCTGCCTGTATTCTCGCTGGCCTGGGGGCGAGCCCCGAGTTGCCTTTTCCACAGGATAGGTAAACTTTTAAACCCCGCCGTGGAGCTTTTTTCCCATTTCTAGAACATTCTGCAGGGCCTTTGCACTTGCAGTTTCCTTGCCTGGGGGCCCAACCTCCTCACCCCTTCATGATGTTCAGTGTTTCTGTGCATGGGCACCTCCGCAGTGAGGTGTCCCCTGCCGCCATAGCTAAACTAGCTCCTCCCTTCGTCACACTGTTCCCAGCTCAGATCCACTTTTCTTGAAGGAGCTTCTCTCCTTGTTAGATACCACACATCCTGGGATCTGTCTTTGTTCATTTTGGTATCAGCCAATGGGTACCTTCTGTGTGCCAGGCACTGTGCTAGGCTCTGAGGACTGAGCGGTAAACAGGACAGGTAATAGTCCCACTCTTGGGACTATTACCATGTGTGGGGTGTGTGTGTGCATGTGTGTACCACACAAAAATGAATAAGTACATTTCCCAGAATGTGCATGTGAGGAGGACTTGGGCTTTTACTCAGAGTGAGGTGGGAGTCTGGGAAGGTTCTGAGTAAAGGAGGGACATGGTGACTTCGGTTTTTAACAGAATTCCTCTGGCTGCCTCGGAGAACAGTCTGTGAGCGGGGAGAGTAAGGAGGCGACTGTGATCGCCCAGGGGAGGGATGACGTGGCTGGGAACCAAGTGGTGGTTGCAGAGGAGTGAGAAGTGGTTGGACTCAGGAGGTTCTCATCCACAGGAAGGTCTTTTGACCATTTCTCCTCCCTGGTCTCTGCTTTTTTGTTCTAACTCAGAGGTTGGCAAACTTTCTCTGTAAAGGGCCAGATAGTAAATATTTTAGGCTTTGGAGGCCACACAGTCTCTATCACAGCTGCTCAATTCTGCCTTTGCAGCACAAAAGCAGCTACAGACGATATGTAAACAAATGAGTGTGGCTGTGTGCCAATAAAACTTTATTCAGAAAACCAGGCAGTGGGCCATAGTTTTTGGACCCCTGGTTTACTGCTGGATGTGCTGTCCCTTCCCCAGGGTGAGTGATGTGCCAGTGAGCTGAGAGGCCTTCAGGTGCACCCCTGGCTTGGAGCCAGCAGGCCTGGTTCTAGGCCTGACTCAGCTGACTCCCAATAGGCCCATGCTCCTCTTGGGCCTCAGTTTCCCAGCTTCCCACTGGAGACCTTGCTGTCTCCTCCTTCTCTGAGCTCAGCATGACTATGGTTCTGTGGGATTAGGACTCACCCCCTCCCCACCCCCAGCCACCCATTTCCCCAACTGTGGTGGGCAGATCAGGGCCAGGGAGGGCAGCCTTGGGCATTCCCACCCATCTGCCCGATCCCACCCAAGTCCCTTGTTCCCAGCAGCCACTCTGTTCCCCTTGGGGCCCTCTGCCAGCTCCGGCCCTCCCGCCAGTCAGCTGGGCAGAGCCTCTCATTTGTGGGTGAGGGTAATTAGGGGTCCTCCCCAGCTGCTATTCTGGGAAGGCTGCTGGCTGAAGGCATTCTGTGGGGGGTGACTCCCAGGCAATCCTCACGCCCTCTGGGCCCCCCAGGGAGAGAAATTGCAGGGCATGGCCCTGCTCCCCTGTCCCTTGCCACGAACTCAAAAATAGGCTAAAATAGGCAAATCCTAGGGTTGTGGCTGCAGCAAAATACAGGGTAGGGTGCAGAATAGAGGATGGGGTGGGTGGGTGGGTGGAGTCCTCCTCAGCACCTCCCATGGCACCTCCCGTGGCAACTCCTGTGGCCTCTGAACTGAACCTACAGGGTCCCAAGGTTTCCCCAGGGAGGGACCCAAGAAGTTGGTAGTCCAGCCTTCTCACTTTAGGCACAGGTAGGGAAACTGAGGCTCGCCATTTAATCTTTGCAGCCACCCTAGGAGTCAGTGCCACTGTTATCCTCATAGATGAGGAAACTGAGGGTTCAGAGAGGTTAAAGGGCATGAAGAGATGGTAAGGGGCTGAGCAGGGATTTGGACCTAGATCTGTGTGTGTCCTACAAAGCCCAAACAGCAGTCTCAACTGAAAGATGTTGAAATTGGGACCTCACCTGGCTGGGTTCGTTGACTTGAGGGATTCTATGCTATTTTCCCCAAACATTCCAGCTGAGACACAGCATTGCAATTCTTCCTCCCACTCCCAGAATCTTCTAAGTTAATGTTTATAGTGGAAGCGAAGCCAGCCAGCTCCCTGGGGCCTGGCTTCCCAGCTGTGGAAAAAGCAGCAGTTTGTGTGTCTGTTTTCTCTGGAGAGGTAATAGGGGTGTCCTGAGAAAGACGCTCACAAACAGGTAGAGAGTCCCCAGTGACATGTCCTGGAAGATCAAGGGGAAAGAAAGGAACGCCTCCTGCTGCTTTTCATTGAGTCAGCAAATCGGGAAAAAGCCTCCGTTTCCAGGGACCACAGGATGTCTCACAGCTAAGGCGGCTGGTTTTCCTTGTTTCAGGGTCCACCTTATCTCAGACAACTATCCTTACCTCACCAAGCCTTGATTTTCCCCTTTGTATACTGGCTGTATTCATCGCTGCCTCTGCTAGCAGGCCTGGCTGGGCAGTGTAGGGAAAAGGAGGAGCCTGGACATGAGTCGTTCTACTGTCTGCTGGCTCTGTGATCTTAGATGGTTTATTTAGCCTCTCTGGGCCTCAGTCTCCCCATCTGTAAAAGGGGTACAGCAACTCCTTCCTTGTCGAGGGAGTAAATGAACTTAAGCATGTATCTGCAGTATGCCTGGCACTAGCAAGGGCTTAGTGAAATTGTGAACCACAGGGATCAGATCACATGTTGGTTGTTACTGGTTATTTATATTTATTTTCCTGGCTTGTCCTAGAACAGGGGTCAGCATACCTTTTATTTAAAGGGCCAGATAGTAAAAATTTAGGCTTTGTTGGCCATATAATCTCTGTTGCAGTTAGTCAGTTTTGTCATTGTGGCTCAGGAGCAGCCACAGACAATATGTAAACAAGTGGGTGTGGTTGTTTTTAAATAAAACTTTATTTATAAGAACAGGTTGTAGGCCAGATTTGGCCTACAGGGCCTTAGTTTGCCAGTCCTTGTCTACAGTTTCTCATTGTGCTTTGTGTCGGATTCTAGCAAGGTTGAGCTCCTTCTTACATACTTGCTGCCCATTTGGGTTTCCCCTCTATTAATTGCTCATTCATATCCCTTGCCCACTTATCTATGAGTTTTCCAGGTTTTTCTTGTTGATTTGATGGAGCTTTTTTGTATATTCTAGGTATCTACTCCTTGTTGGTTTTAGATACTATGTTTATCTTTGAATCTGCTATCTGCCTATGGAGTTGATATTAAATGGAAGTCCTTAATTTTAGTATAGTGCTTTTTTGGGGTAGGGGAGTGTCTTGTACATGGACTCCTTTTCTACCCTAGGATAAAGATATTCTACATTTCGTTTGGTTAGCTTTAGTTTTATTGTTTATATTTATGCCTTTCATTCATTAGTTTATTGTTGCATATGGTGTGAGGTAGGGATCTGATCCCCCCACCCACCACCAACCAAGTCAGTTTTCCCTGAACCATCTGTAGAACACTCCACATGATCACTTACCATCCCTCATGTACTAAATTTACATGAATGCCTAGCTCTCTTATGTGATTTCTTTTCCCTTCCACTGGTTATTTATCTGTTTCTGCTCTAGTTCCACACTGGTTTTGTTATTATGGTTTTGTAATATATCTTTTTGGCAGGTAGGGCAAGTTCAGATTTTTCAAGAGAAGTCAGAAAGCCAGATCTTTATGTGAAATATCCTAGTATGTTAGTGTTGGCACACGATTCCATTTTAATAAAATACGTGTTGGCCAAACCAAACTTGTCCAGGGGCTGATTCTAGCTTGTGTCTGCCAGTTGGCAAACAGTGCTGGAACTTTCCCTTGTGAGTCTGACCACGTGCGTGCACGTCTGTGGGTTTGCAGTGCTGGAGAAGAGTGAGTTCAAGGATGAGTCCCAGTACTTCCGCTTCCATGCTGACGAGGAGATGGAGGGGACCAGCAGCAAGAACAAACAGCTTCGCAATGACTTCAAGCTGGTGGAGAACATTCTGGCCAAGCGCCTGCTGGTAGGAGTAGAGCTGAGCTGTTGCACTTTCCTTCCCAGACTCAGGAGCTGGGCCTCCTTCAGATTATGGCCAGAGAAGGAGGCTCAAACTTTGAGCACCAAAGAGAGTATGGAGGATTCTAGGTGGTTGGTGGCAACTCTGCCAAGAGGCCACGTCATTTCCATGGCCAAGACTACCCTCTTCACAAAAGAGATTGGGCTTGTGGGGTTCCCTTCCTTCACCTTTCCCTTTCCTCTTGTTCTCCCCACGTCCCCAACCTAGCACTGTGCAGAGAGGATGCCTGCCTGAAATGCAGACCCTATAGCCTTAGGTCATAGAGAATGGCATCCTGTCCATGTTCAGTTGTCATATATCCTTGCAGTTAAGGAGGAGCATTTACCTGTTCAGGTGCTTTACCACTCTAACCCACCAAATCCTGTTTTTCTGCGTACTGGTGAGTAATGACTCCCATCTTAATGCATGGCCCACAGCAGGCAGTCAAGAGAGAGTCTCAGAGAGGTTAGTTCCCTTGCCACCGCCAAGTTTGGAGCCATATCAGATTGATACGAAGATGATTCTATTGATTTTTCTCCTGTAGTACTTTGGGGGGCTGCTAATCCCACTGATTTCATTTCTCTCTTTAGAAAGCCCTCCAGTGCTCCCTATCATACTTAGGATAAAATTTAGACTCTCTTCATGGCCTATAGGGCTCTTCCTGCCTCTTCAGCTTCATCCCCTGTGCTGCCCCCTTCCTCACTCCACCCCAACCACCCTGATCTCTTTTCTTATCTCCATTGCCTTGGGGCCTACCTCAGGGCCTTTGCACATGCCTCCTGCCTGGAGCACTATTCCCCACTCTGTATGAAGTTCTGTTTCTCACTTCATTCAAGACTCAGCTCAGATATTATTTCCTCTGGCCCCCCACTATGCCCTATCCCCTTAAGTGCTTTATTTTAATTCAAACTACGTATATTTTGTGCATCACATTCTATATTTCTTTGTTTTTTTGTTTATAGTCTGTCTCCCCACCTAAACAGTCAGCTGCAAGAGAGCAGGGACCATCTTTCTTCTTTGATACTGTGTCTCCAGCATCCAGCAGAGCACCTGGTTTATATAATAAGCAGCAGCTCAGTAAATGTTGGACAGATAACTGCATTTCTTCCACTACTACAGAACCCCAAACCTTCTTCCAATAAGCCTGCCACCCTCCTGGGGGAGGGGCTGCTCCTCTCTTTCTATCTCCAAGTTCCCAGCAGCTGGACACCTTGGACCTGTTTTATTCATTAAGTCAGTGAAAATTTATTGAGCACCTAGTATATGCCAGCAGAAGGGGAGACAGTGGTACACGAGAGAAGAGACCCCATCTTCAGGTTGGGAGGAGAAGGGGGAGACGGGCAATAAAAAGGAAACAAATATGCAGCCAGCACCAGGCCGTGGTACCAGCCAGGTGGCGTGTCCTCATTTGACAGATGTGGGATGAGCACTACCGTGTGTCAGGCAGTGTTTGTATTTTACTCCGTCTCACCAGCCTGGATCTGGCCACTTCTCTGCAGGCCCCCTATCTGTCCCCCACCTCTGTAGACCTGGGACATGAGGAGCCTCAGGGTCATGGTCCTGTGGGGCCAGGTGGGGCTGGCTCTAGGCCCGCCTTGCTGCCTTACCCGGTCTCCTCTGCCTTGGTCCCTCAGATTCTGCCCCAGGAGGAGGACTACGGCTTCGACATCGAGGAGAAGAACAAGGCTGTGGTGGTGAAGTCTGTCCAGAGGGGCTCGCTGGCCGAGGTGAGGCCTCGCAGAGGGGCTGCTGTGGCAGGGGCAGCCCGTGGGTGGGAGGGGGCATCTCTCTCCACATTCCTTGAGGCGGGTCAAGCCAGCAGATCCTGAAGTAACAACTAGTTCCTCCCCTCTCATTGCCTGTGTGGGGAAACTGAGCCCAGGACTCATTTGTCTGTGGTTGCTGGAGGAGCCAGTATAGAGCCCAGCTGCTCAGGACTGTCCTTGTAGTGTGTCCCCTCAGTGCCCTCTCCTGGACCCTGTGGGGAGATACAAGAAAAAAACAATTTTCTGAATCAGCTGTGATAATGGAAAAACCCAATTAGGAGTGGCTTGACTAAGGCAAGATTTTTGCTCTCTCATAAACACGAAGTCTGCAGGAGGACTGGTTAGGAGAGTGAGTCTGTGGCAGGCCAAGGATCCAGCCCCAGGTCCTCTAAGCTTCTCCTGGGCGGTGTGGACGTTGTCCAGGTGCTGGGCTTGCCTCCTGTGATGTTAGAACTGCTTTGGGCCACAAGTAGCCACATCCTCGCCTCTAATGGCCAGAGACACAGGGCTGCACGTTCCTAATGATGTGAGTGGTTGGAAGGAGGTGGTTGCGAGTCTTGGTTCCAGTCAGCATGTCTTTAACTTTCTTGGCCAAGTTCTCATAGTCACAGGGTGGCCGCCCCAGTGTGACGCCTTGTGTCCTCACACAACAGGGTCAGGCCACAGCAGAGAATTTCTCCTCAGGGGAAAACGTCTTTTCCCCCCTCCATCAGCCCCTCCAGGGGGCTTCCTTTCGTAGCTCATTGGTCAGAACCAAGTCTCTCAAGCCCCTTAACAGCTTACCACAGAGGGGACGGGGTTGCCCTGCTGGGCTTCCCTCATCCTGCTTGGTCTCTGGAGCTGGTACCTTGTTGCTGGGACAAATTTGGGTCCCTTAGTGAGGAGGGAAGGAAGTTAGTCACCGGGGTGCATTTCTCCCTGCCAAGATGGCCGGCCTGCTGGTGGGGAGGAAGATTTACTCCATCAATGAGGACCTGGTGTTCCTGCGGCCCTTCTCGGAGGTGGAGTCCATCCTCAACCAGTCCTTCTGCTCTCGCCGCCCATTGCGTCTCTTGGTGGCCACCAAGGCCAAAGAGTGAGTGTCCCCAGGGGCAGGTTGTCCAGCCGACCTTTCTCATGCTGAGGAGTTGCTGGGGACTAGGGGGTGGTAGAGGGCGGTATGAGCTCTCCTGGTTCCCCGTGGGGTGGGGTGGGGTGGGGTGGGGCCCATTGCAGGAGGCACGTGACCCGAAGCTGGTCCCTTCATTCATTTCACGGATGTTTATTGAGTGCTCACTATGTGCCGAGTGGTGTTTCAGGCTCTGGGCATCCAGCCGTATTGGGATGGGTATGTTCCTACCCTTCATAGATCTCAGGTCTAGGTGGGGGACGGAGCAGGAGATAACGCACAGATAGAGGAGTGAGGTACGTACCAAACCAGGGGTGGCAAGCCAGGTGCACATATGCGAGGGCACTTCAAAAAGGTTATGCAAAAATGGAATTAAAAGATAATGTAAATTTTTCCATGAACGTTTTGAAGCCCCCTTGTATAGATAAAACTGGAACAGGGGCTGGGGTTTGCAGAGGGATTGTGGTCAGATAGATGTCACTGAGAATTGAGGTAAAGACGTGGAAGAGGTGAGAGAGGGAGTCTAGGGGATTTCTGGAGCAACAGAGTTCCAGGCAGAGGAGCGGGCCAGTGCAAAGGCCCTGAGGTGGGACCGTGTCTGGCATATTTGAGGAACAGTGAGGAAGCTGCTGGGGCTGGAGAGGAGTGAGCAGGAGGGAGGAGCCCTGCAGAAACTGTGCCCATGGTGAGCACCTGTGGAGAGCCACTGGAAGGTTCTACCAGAAGCCCTCTGGCTGCAAGTGGAGACCAGACGGTCAGGGCCAGTGTTGGAGGTAGGGGGAGGGGAGGAGGTGGCTCAGCCCGGCATGGTCGCAGGGGGTGGTGAGAAGTGAATCGACACCAGATATAGGTACACAGGAAGCATTTTCTATTTTAAAAATCATGCATTTGGTTTCCACTTCTCCTTTCTATTTAGGGCAAATGTTCTGTTGACAGGAATGATGGAAAGTTTTAAATAGGATTATTTCAGGAAAATGGGGAGCTGATCAGGGAAAATGATTGACGGTTTGGTTGGTACGTGGAAGTGGCAGAAATCACCAGCGTGCCTGCTTAATGTTCTGGAAACATCTGGGGTTTGAGAACAGCTTTTCAGGATGGCCTGATCTGGCAGGTGGGAATGGGTGGGATGATTGCGCAGCATGGGACTGGGGACATGTCCTAGACAGGGAGACGTGCAGCGGCACTGAAGCCCCAGGATTAATGACTCCCACTGCATCACCCTGGGCAGGGGCTGCCCCTCTCTACTTTGGATTCTATCTGTAGAATAGCTAGGACCTGAACTGGCTTTCAAACCATGTTCTTTAGGGGACCTGTGTGGGTGTTTTTCTAGGAACGGTAGCAAGATGCGCTGGGTCACTTCTCACTCCTCGCATCTGTGATTGGTGAATAAAATATTGACTGGCTGGAGTGCTGGTCTGGCCACCAAGAGCTCTTAGGACAGGAGAACTATGGAGAAGGTGTAGGAGGGTTACGTGGAATTACTGTGTGTCCCAATTAGTCAAAGTCCGGGGGCATGCGCTCTCCTTCATTGAGTTTTCTCTATATGTTTGGGAGCTGGAAAGCCTGGTCCTGCTACTACTTTGGGCTGGATTTCCCAAAAGTCTCAGAGGCAGGGGCTCCCCAGGTTGGCTCCTGGGGTTACTGGGAGTGATGTTGCTTTTCCTTATGTCCTTTCCCTGCTGTTTCTGCCTGGTGCAGGATCATCAAAGTCCCCGATCATCCAGAGGCACTGTGCTTCCAGATCCGTGGAGCTGCCCCGCCTTACGTCTATGCTGTGGGGAGAGGTGAGCGGGAACTTGGCAGACAGCAGGGAGCCTTGGGAGCTGAATCTCTTTGTGCGGTAGGAGTTCAGAGCCACCCAAACCATTACCACCAGGCCTCTGCCTGATAGGGTACCATTAGCATTTATTTTCTTAGCTCGATGCCAAGACTTGCAAGCACAGATGCCTGTTGGGGTCAGGAAGGTTACAAATGGGTAGAGTGATCTGAGTGGAAGACAGTAGGGAGTGGCGAGGGCTGTGGCAAGGTGAAAAAGTACATGCTCACTCTAAAAAGAGCAGTGGCTCTTCAGCTTGAGGTCATTGTTGCCAGGCATCACTGTGGGCCTGCTCCTGCCAGACTTGATTTTCTAAGAGAAGCCAGAAATGTGAATTTTAGAGCTCCACAAAAACACTTCTGTGGCCAGATCCAGCCCAAGGGCCACCAGTTTAAGACCTCTGCTTTCTGCATTGCCTTTCCTTTGCATGCTGTTAAAGGTATCACTCTGTCTTGGAGGTAAAACCAAGTAAGTCTGCAATACTGGACTCTATACCCTTTTGCATTTAAGGCCCTTTTTTTCAAGTTTAGACATTAATACCATGACAGAAAGCTACTGGGAATTTGATAAAATTCTATAATTTTGTTTTGTTTTGTTTTTTGGTGGCTGGCCTGTACAGGGATCAAACTCTGGAACTTGGTGTTATCAGCACCACAGCTGGCCAGCCCTAAAGTGGGTTTTTATTTATTCTTAAAGCAGTGGTTCTCAACTGGAAACAGTTTTGCCACCCTCTCCAGAGGACAGTGGGCACTGTCTGGAGACATCTGTGGTTGTCACAACTGGGGATGATGTGCTATTAACATTTAGTGGATAGACCAGGGATGTTGCTAAACATCCTTTAATGCACAGGACAGCCCCAAAGAATAACAAAGAATTATCTGGCCCAAAATTTCGGTCGTGCCTTGGTGAGAAACCCGAACTTAGAGCATCTACAGAGATGTTTATAATAGGTAATAATAGGTGTTTATAGGTGAAGTAGGCAAAAGTAATTAAACAACTGATATTTCTTGAATACTTACTAAGTGCCAGGAATGGTGCTAAATGCTTCTCATGTGTCGTCTCAAGAACTCTATGAGTAGGTGTTATTAGTGTCTCCATCTTATAGATGATGAAACTGAGGACCAGAGACATTAAGGAAGTTGCCGAAGGTTACAGAATTAGTCCATGGCAGAGCCAAGGTTTGAAGCCAAGCTCCCTTGGTACAGGGCAGGGTCTGTACTTGTCATACCTTTCAGGCCTGATATTCTCCCATGTACAGACAAAGCTTGGCATTTGTTTGCATTTCCAGACCTTTCGCATTAACCACACAAAACCCTGGAGTCTAAGACTTAACAGTTTGGGAATTGCGGTATAACTGAAAAAACATGGAATTGGAGTCTGGTAGACCTGGTTTGAATCTTGGCTTCTCCCAGCTGTGTGATCTTGTTCAGTATCACGTGGTTGTTGCAGGATTTTAAAGGCTATGAAGCTGTAAAGTGAAACGTACCTGGATTCAAATGCATTGTCTTTGCTGTGTGACCTTTGAGCCTCAGTTTCTTCTGCAAAATGGGAATGCCAATTCTCTCTCTGTCCACTACAGTGGGTCAGAGGGAAGCTCCAGAGTGGGAGGGATGGAGGTGGAGTCTTTGGGTTTGTGTTTGAGGGGTTGGGTTAGTAGGTGGGTGGTGGAGGGACAGTGTTCACCCAGTTACCAGCCTTTGCCTGTGGCTGCCCGCGACGATCTCTGTCTGGTGCCCAGCCTCAAGCGCTTCTGTCATTCTTAGGCTCGGAGGCTGTGGCTGCAGGGCTCTGTGCAGGTCAGTGCATCCTGAAGGTCAGCGGCAATAATGTGATGAATGATGGTGCCCTCGAGGTCCTAGAGCACTTCCAGGCATTCCGGAATCAGCGAGAAGAGGCCCTGGTAAGCCGACCAGTAGCCAAGGGGATCAGGGAAGCGCTGCTGGATGAGCGGCAAGGGGCAGAGAGCTGCCCTCTCTTCTCTGGGGAAAAGCCTGAAGGCACCAGATGGTTGTGGGCAGGGTAAGCCTGGGCTCTGTGCTCCCACTGCGTGCCCAGACCAGAGGAGCTGGGCCATGATACCTCAGGGCCTCGGTTTTCACTGCTGTGAAATGGGTGTGATAAGATTCTCCTCTCTCCCTACGACACAGTCATGTTGGGCAAATAGTTGTGTTGATGATGAAAATTGATATTATATTTTGGGTTGGTGGCCAGGGTTCTGGTGGAGGAGGACATTCACTTATTGATTCATTTATTGGTTCACTCAGTAAGTGTTTATTGAGCACATGCTACAAGCCAGGCATATTTCTAGGCCCTGGGGACACAGGAGGGACAAGGTGTCTGCTCCCAGGACCCTGATGAACACTTTCAAAGGCTCCTTCTCCCCTGGCTTTTTTTTTTTTTTTCCTTTTTGTCTTTTTTCGTGTCCGGCAACGGATCACAACCCTCAGTGTTGCGCCCGTACCGGACCAGGACCGGCAACGGGATTGCAACCCTCGGTGTTGCTTCCCGCACCTCGCTCAGCCAGTGAGCGGCCGGTCTGTATGTGGGATCCGAACCCTCGGCGGGAGCACCACCGCACTCTCAAGCGGCGCACTGTAGCAATGCGCCACCGGGCCGGCCCTCCCCTGGCTTTGGTGTGGAGTGTAGACTGTACACGGTGAAGGCTCTGTGTACCTGGAGGTAAGGAAGGTTCCAGAGCAAAATCTTCAAGGCCTCTACAAAGGTAGCATTACCGACAGGCTAAAAGCCTGCACTTTGGAATCCAGGAACAGTTTATACCTTGGCCCATCCCTTCCTCCCTAGCTGCCGGCATCATGGCTGCCCCTCTTACTCTGGCTACCCCCCAGGGCCTGTACCAATGGATTTACCGTACCTACGAGGATGCCCAGGAGGCCCGAGTCAGTCAGGGGGTGCTGGATGAGGACCCCAGTGGCGAGGGGGCCCAGGAGGAAGACCAGCCAGACTCAGGTAATGAGAAGGTGGGAGTGGCATTTCTGGAGCTTCCAGAGGGACTGAGAGACTCCAGGGAAGCTGGGTCCCCCTCTGTGTCTATTCGCCTCCCAGCCAGTGCATCTCAATGCCAGCAGCTCTGTATTAAGTTTCTGCTGGCTGCTGTGACAAAGTACCATGTTGGTCAGGGTCACATAAAACTGGGTTGCATGAAAACATTAGCTCAGAGAACTAGAAAGTCTGAGTGGAGTCAAGCAAGCTTCAGTCTGGCTTGATCCAGTGCCTTGTAAAGTATTGTGAAGAGTCTCTTTCTCTCCAGTTTTCATCTCTCTGTGTTGGCTTCCATCTTACATGGGGTTTTCTTCACATGGTGGCTCTGGCAACTTGGAATCCAGTTGAAAAAGGGAATGTCTCATTCTCTTTGTAGCTCCAACAGAAGTCCCAGACCTGACTCTCATTGGCCCATCTTGGGTCATGTGCTTGATCCTGAGCATGGTCACTGAGAGGGGGCTTAGAATATGCTGATTAGCCAGGCTTGCATCTCCTGCCCAGCTGTGGAACCAGGTCTCAGGGGAAGAGTGCAAGTGGGGTCACCTTCTTCTGAGCCACATAGACTGAGAATGGGGCACAAGGATTGATTCCCATAAGGAAAGTCTTCTAGGACAGGGGGTGAGCCATAGCAGGCCAGCTGAAAAAGACAGAGCTACGGGCACGCTTTGGTTTCCCCATTAGTCAAAGGGCCTGGCTGGCTGCAGAGTGGTACCCCCTTCTTAGTGTATACCCCTGTGCTTCCAGCCTTCCCTCTGCTGTCCCTGGGCCCCCAGCTGAGCCTGCGTGAGGACAGCCCTGTGGTCAGCCTGACCGTGGACAATATGCATCTGGAGCACGGTGTGGTGTATGAGTACGTGAGCACAGCGGGTGTCAAGTGCCACGTGCTGGAGAAGATTGTGGAGCCCCGTGGCTGCTTTGGCCTCACTGCCAAGGTCTCTGGGCACTGCCCTGCCCTGCCCTGCTTTGGGGGGCGGAGGGCAGTTTCTCTTACCTAGGGTGAGAGAGTAACCAGGGTGGAGGCAGCCAGATTCTCATTTTCTCAGAGTTCTTAGAGCCCTGAATTCTAGTCCCTGACCCACCACTTGGTAGCCATGGGACTCAGGAGAGTGACTTATTGTCCTTTTAGCCTCAGTTTACTTATCTTCAGAATGGGCCAGTAGTAGACCTGACCTCACAGGGGTATTATGAGAAGTATAGGAGCCAGTGCAGGTAAACTGCTTAAGACTTTCCCTGGCATACAGGGAGTGTTCAGTAGCTGTTCATGTTCCTGCAGATCCTCGAGGCCTTTGCTGCCGATGACAGTGTCTTCGTGCAGAACTGCGGGCGGCTCATGGCCCTGAGCAGCGCCATCATGACCATGCCCCATTACGAGTTTCGCAACATTTGCGACACCAAGCTGGAAAACATCGGCCAGAGAATTGCCTGCTATCGGGAGGTACCTGTGCCCTGCAGGGTCTCTGCCACAGGCTCCCAGACACAGTGTCTCAGCCTGGGATATTTTGGTTGTAGATATCAAACCCCAGCTCATTCTCAGCTTAAACAAATGGGAGAAGTTATTGGTATATATTACTGAAAAGTACAGAGGTGAACTGCAGGCATGGTTGTATCCAGGTGCTTAAACAGATATCACAGTATCTCAAGAACGTGGCCTCTCTCTGTCTCTTAACTTTGTTTTCCCGAGTTGGCTTCACTCTCATGCAGGCCCTTCTCATGTGGTGATGAGATGGCCCTCAGTACCTCTAGCCTTAGCAACCCAGTAAAAAGTTAACTTGAAGGGAACTCTTACTGTCGTGTCTTGGGCCATGTGCCTAGTCCTGTCCCAGTCACTAGGGATGGGGAGGCAGCGCGACCTGAACTTCATGAACTGAGGGTTGGGGAGAGATGGTTCCGAAAGGACAGCTCAGGTGTGGCTAAAAGTGAGAAACGAATGCAGGTGTAAGTACTTGGAGGCCTCCTATTCCTCCAGGCCTTCCCGAGATCTGGACCCAGTGAAAGACAGTACAGGGAAATCCACTTTTCTGTTTGGAGCTATTGGCATATTGTCCAGTTTTGGGACGTCTGGCCTAGGCCCTGATAAAGTAGGCACTGGGTGTGGGCCAGAATTCCCAGACCCCTGACTCATGACCCTGTGTCTCCTACCTTTCTCAGTTTGCAGCCCAGCTGAAGAACAGGGTCAGCCCACCCTTCAAACAAGCACCCCTGGAGCCCCATCCTCTCTGTGGCCTGGACTTCTGCCCCACCAACTGTCACGTCAACCTCATGGAAGTGTCCTACCCGAAGACCACCCCCTCAGTTGGCAGGTCCTTCAGCATCCGCTTCGGTCGCAAACCCTCCCTCATTGGCCTTGATCCAGAGCAAGGTACCTGTGTGTGTCTGTTAGAAACTGTGTTCAGATCTTGTACTACGTATACTTAAACAGAAAGATGTCTGAAGGTCAGCAGTTTAGGGCTGGAATGGTAGCTCCATAGTCATCAGGGATCCAGGCTTCTCCTGCCTTTCTGTGCCACTAATGCTAGATGTAGCTTCTAGCCTTCAGGATGCCTCATGGTAGAGATTGGCTGCTGGAGTACCAGCTATTATGTCTGCATTCCAGGCAGGAAGAAGATCACAGCAGGTAAAAGCATAGCAGCACCAAATTGAAACTTTCTTCTTCAGGTAACCTAGTGGACTAAGAGTATTGAAAAGGGAAAATTATCTTATTCATTGGGATCCTTTAAATGGGTTTGTATTCCTCTGCCCAAAGGTCATGTGGTATCTGGTGTCTGTTTCTGAGTGAGCTCTCCCTTCCTTCCCTGTAGGCCACCTGAACCCCATGTCCTACACCCAGCACTGCATTACCACCATGGCAGCTCCATCCTGGAAGTGCTTGCCTGCTGCAGATGGGGACCCCCAAGGACAGGGTCTCAGCAATAGTAGCTTTGGATCAGCCAGTGGGGCTCTTGGCCATGAAGACCGGGGCCTGAGCTTCCTGCTCAAGCAGGAAGACCGTGAGATCCAGGATGCCTACCTGCAACTCTTCACCAAATTAGATGTGGCCCTGAAGGAGATGAAGCAATATGTCACCCAGATCAACAGGTGAGCCCTGGCCCCAGGGGGGCACTAGAGGGGAGAGAGGCAGGAGTTCTCAACCTTGGCTCTATTGAAATTTTGGTTAGGATAATTCTTTGCTGTGGGGGGCTGTCCAGTACATTATAGGCTATTTAGACTACTAATTTAGACTACTATTTAGACTACTATTTAGACTACTATCTAGACCCACTAGATGCCAGTAACAACCCCCTCCTCCAGTTGTGACAACCAAAAATGTCTTTAGACATTGCTAGATGCCCCCTGGGGGCACAATCCCACCTGACTGAAAAACACTGCTCTAGTGAAATAACGGATGTAGGCAGTGATCATCAGTGAGGCTAAAACTATCTGCAAAAGGTTCTGCGGGCACTTAATTTTAACATCTCAGGGAGAGAGAGAGGCAGCTGGACACACGATGTCCCTTTTGCTGTAATGCAAGAGGACACACATGCAGCACCGCCCACATGTGCCTTTGCCAGCAGAAATTGAACAATTATCTAATGCAAGCTGAGTCTCATCGCTCAGCTATAGGATGTGGGGGATAAAGGATGGTTAAATGGCACCTCAGGATGCATTCGGACAAATCCGGAGGGTGGGCGATTCTACGTGACAGTGACCCAGTTTCTTCAACAAGTGAGAGGTGGGGGTGGGGGGGGGTAAGCAGGTGCGGGGAGGAGGAGGAGCTGTTAGAGAGTAAAGATGCTTGAGTGACATGACAACTAAAAGCAGTGTCTGGACCTGGTTAGGGATCTGTTTCACGCCAAGTGCGAGGAGACATTTTTGAGACAATCAGGGACATATGAACATGGACTGGGTACTAGATGGTATTAAGGAATTATTAATTTTGTTAGGCACAGCAAGAGCAATGTGATTATGTTTATGTTTAAACCAGTGTTTTTTTCTCAGCCTTGACACTGTTGACTTTTTGGGCTGGATAGTTCTTTGCGTGGGGGCTCATCCTGTGCCTTGGAGGAAGTTTAGCAGCATCTGGGGTCTCCACCTACGAGATGTCAATAGCAATGTCCCCCTCCAGTTGTGACAACTAAAAATGTCTCTATACATAGCTCAATGTTCCCTGGGGGGCAAAGTTGCCCCCAGTTGAAAACCATTGGTTTTAAAAAAAAGTCCTCGTGTATTAGAGACAGATATGGAAGTATTTATAGGGGAAATTATGTGTTGTTTTAGACTTGTTTTAAATACTCCAGTAACAGAAAACGTGATGGGAAAAGTTGAGGAAACAAGGTGGTCCCTGAGCTGCCACTGCTGGAGCTGGCTGCTGGGTAACTGGGGCTCCTCACATTTGCCTCTCTACTTTTGTGTGGGATGGAAAAATAAAGGGAAAAAGAATGTAGGCTCTGGAGCCAGGAAGCCTGGGTTTGAAACCTAGCTTTGTCAGTTATTAGCCGTGCAACCTTCAGTGAGTCACTTAACTTCTCTGAGCCTGGTTTCCTCCTCTGTAAAACGGGGCTAATCAGGAGACTGACCGCATTGAGATGTGGTGGGATTACATCTAGCCAGGGTTTATTGATCACTGAGAAGTCACCAGATACTGTTCTGAGCTCTTTTCATATTTTAATTCCCTTAATCTTCATAGCACCCTATGATGTCAATACTGATGTTATCCCATTTTGCATATGAGGAAACTGAGTCTCAGAGAGTTTAAATAATTGGCTTTATGCCTCTAAGCTAGGCAATGGCAGAATCAGGATTTGAATCTAGGTCTGTCTGGTTTTAAGACCTATACTCTTAACTCCACACCAGGGATTGACCAGCTATGGCCCATGGGCCAAGTCCAGCCCACTGCCTGTTTTTTTTTTTTAATAAAGTTTTATTCAAACACTGACATGCCCATTTGTTTACATATCGTCTATGGTGCTTTCACGCAATGGCGGCAGTGCTGAGTAGTAGTCGTTGAGACCATCTGGCCTACAAAACTGAAAAGATTTGCTCTCTGGACCTTTACAGGCAAAGTTCCCCAGCCTGTGTGCTATGCCACAGAGCCTTGTGCATCTTGGCCATGAAATAGGAACTTACCTATCTCATGCCCCCAACGGGAGAGACAGTGCTGTGCATCTGCGGAGATGGTGGGCTTGTTAAGAAGGGACACAAAGCATTTGATGGCTCCCACAACTTAGGGTCACTTCAAGGTCTTTGCTTCCTGCAGGCTGCTGTCCACCATCACGGAGCCCACCTTGGGTGGCTTGTGTGACCCACCCTTGGCTGAGGAGGCCTCCTCCTCCCCGCTGGTCAGTGAAGAGAGCGAGATGGACAGGACTGACCATGGGGGCATCAAGAAAGTGTGCTTCAAGGTGTCTGAGGAGGATCAGGAGGACTCAGGCCATGATACCATGAGCTATCGTGATTCCTACAGGTGGGCATGGCTGTGGGTGGCTTGGGGTGGATGCTGCCAGCCAGCAGAACAGCTGAGGATGCTGACCAGTGGGAAAGTCAGAATCTGTGGGCTGTCTTCCAGGGTGCAGTAGTGTTGGGGTGCTCTTGCTAACAGTATGGTTCTTGGGGCTATCTGAGCCCCCAAAGCACGCCCCATGGCGCCCACTTTGTTTGCTCTCCTGCCCCACAGCTAATGTGTCAGGGTCTGCCCCTTGTGGACACCGTCCATTCTGCTCTGAAGTCACTCCACACACGCGGATGGAATGTTGTCAAAGAAAAAGTCAGGATTCCGTGGTTTGTTTTAAAACTCAATCTAAGACATATGGTTTCTGCAGCAAACACTAGTTATTTTTACGTGATCCAAGGAGGAAGACTGTTTTCTTTTTTCCTCCTAACTCCAAGCAGATTTGAATTGTTTTTCTAATGGTTAAGTTGATTACAACAAGATCAGTGAGGTCCTAATTAGTGGGTTAAATAGACTAAAACTAAACTTTTTTGTAAAAAACCATACAGTGAATAAATATGATTCTTTACCACAAAAAAACAAGCATTATGGTTGCCAGCGAAAGGTTATAAGGCATTTGCATTACGGTTGTAGTAGACTCTTGGAGGGTACATCATTTGTTTGCAGGCAAAAACCAGAACTGATTTAATTTGACAAAGACCTTCACCCCAGTCCTCCCAGCATGAATATTCTTTTGGTCTTCAAGGGTCTCACTGGTCCACCATCTGCAGCTTTCTTGGTGTCTGTGTAACGGGACGTTCTGGCTGTCTCAGCACCTCGTGTTCTTGGAGTCCCATGTCCATAGTCCAAGATTTCTCCGTCTCTCTGGATTCTTACATTTTTGGGTCCTCTGATTTTTCCCTTTAGTTGTCAAAAAGGTGTAGGCAAGAATTTGGGGATTGTGGTTTTTGATTCCCCATACCTTCTGAGTTCCTGGGACACAGCCAATCACAGATGGTCCTAGTTCTCATGAGGTTTCCAGCCAGGATGGGGAGGCAGAGAAGGGCTGTGTGGTTGAGTGGGGTATGTGCAGGTAGGTCCAGGGGCAAGGCTGTCCCATTAGAGAGGAGTGATGTTCTGGGGAGCATCAGGGACACTGGACAGTAGTGACACCTGAATGAAAATGACTCCCCATCCTCCTGCTGTTTCTGTGTTTCTGTGCTGGGGCCTAAAAATTTCTCCACCCTCAGACGTAGAAAATGAACAGGCCACCATCCCTGTCTCTGGCTGGTTGTCCACCAGAAGGGCCAGGGCTTTTGTCTATGCTCCAGAAAGTGTGTTCTGGGTGTCAGGATGAGAGGGTGTGGAGTTGGAGGGTGACTCAGCCCCTTCTCTCGGCCCCTGTGCAGTGAGTGTAACAGTAATCGAGACTCGGTCCTGTCCTACACCAGCGTGAGAAGTAACAGCTCCTACCTGGGCAGTGACGAGATGGGATCTGGTGAGTGCAGAGGCTCGGGCTGGGGGAAAGAGGGGTCCCCTGGTGAGATTTTGTTTTATTTTTATTTTGTTGTGCTTTATGTTGTTTTGTATCATATTGCATAGTATTGTACTGTATTTCCTTCCATCCACTCATTCAGAAAATATTTAGTGAGCACCTATTACTTGCTGGGAGTTGAGAACACTGCTGGGAATGAAAGAAGGATCCTCGACTGTCATGGATACGGAACAAATAAAAACATGCATGATGTGATTACGTATGATTGCGTGTGACCGTGTATGATGTGTGGTTGTGGTGAGTGCTCTGACGTCACTAAACAGAGTGACCTGATGGTTTCCATAAAAACGACATGTGCTCAAACCAAAAATCCAAATGACACAGTAAAGTTCAAAAGAAGTACATAAAAATAAATCAGAATCTTTTCTCCCCCAGAAATGACCACTGCTCACATTTTGAGATCATTGGTGAGTGCATATGTTTGCACAGATGGACATGTGGGTGGATGGATGGATGGATGGATGGATGGATGGATGGATGGATGGATGGACAGACATAAACAATATTTTATTTTATTTTTTTGTCTTTTTCGTGACCAGTAAGGGGATCGCGATCTTTTCTCCCCCAGAAATGACCACTGCTCACATTTTGAGATCATTGGTGAGTGCATATGTATGCACAGATGGACATGTGGGTGGATGGATGGATGGATGGATGGATGGACAGACATAAACAATATTTTATTTTATTTTTTTGTCTTTTTCGTGACCGGTAAGGGGATCGCGACCCTTGGCTTGGTGTCGCCCACACCACACTCAGCCAGTGAGCGAACCGGCCATCCCTATATGGGATCCAAACCCGGGGCCTTGGTGTTATCAGCACCGCACTCTCCGGAGTGAGCCACGGGCCAGCCCCAGATATTTTAAAATAGGTCACACATCCACATGTATGACACGAGAAGGTGCATGGTGACAAGTCTCCCTCCCACCCTTGTCCCCCAGCCTCCTGGTTTGCAGGCTGTCACTGTCCACATGTATGACACGAGAAGGTGCATGGTGACAAGTCTCCCTCCCACCCTTGTCCCCCAGTCTCCTGGTTTGCAGGCTGTTGCTACTCCCACCCTTGTCCCCCAGCCTCCTGGTTTGCAGGCTGTCACTGCTGTTCTCATTGTCACTACTGTCTGTGTGTCCTTCCAAGGTAGTTGTGCATAAAAATTTAATTTAAATTATACTTTAACAGGAGAAAAGAAGCTCCAGTAAAATGGAAGATATTGCTGAACTTTAGATAAATGTTTCATCACATAAGATACTCAACTGCAAAAGCTGTCCCTGGGGAGGTTTTAGGAAGGAGCTTCTGTGTGGAAGCTGATTTAATTCAAACAGCTGGGGGATGAGTCAGGAGGCTTGGTATCCAGTTCCTTGTCTCTGGTTCTCAGCTTCCTCATTGCAGAATGGAAATAGTAACAGTGCCTGACAATCCTGTGATGCTTTAGTGTCTGTTGCCCATTTTGCAGATAAAGAAATTGAGGTTCAGAGAGGTCAAGTGATTTGCCTGGTGATGCACAGCCAGGGCCTGGGTCTGTCAGACTTCAAATCCCCTGTGGCTTTGGAGCTCTGTAGCTCCATTGCCTTCTTGGGAAAGGGGCTGGGAAGGTGTGAGATCAGACAGGAATGGCTGATGGTGCTGCTGCTTCCTTTTGCCAGGGGACGAGCTGCCCTGTGACATGCGGATCCCGTCAGACAAGCAAGACAAGCTTCATGGCTGCCTGGAGCATCTCTTCAACCAGGTAGGACCTTTGCCCCACCCCGGTGTACCTTGGGTTCCTCCCTTTACCCTTATGAGAACCCATAACCCAGAGGCTGGGGCAAGAGCTGTGGGTCGTGGATCCCTGCAGTCTGGAAGGCCATGGGCCCAAACTAACCCCGAGCTTCTTACGGCCCAGGTGGACTCCATCAACGCACTTCTCAAGGGGCCAGTCATGAGCAGGGCTTTTGAAGAGACCAAGCACTTCCCCATGGACCACAGCTTACAGGGTGAGGAGACACTCAGAGTCCAGCAGGGAGGCAGCCTGTGATGGGGGAAGGGTGCTGGACCATGCAGGACATCCGGGTCACACTCCCTGCTCTGTCCCTCTCCTGCTGAAAGGCTACAGGCTAGTCTAGGGGCTGGCAGATTTCAGACCAGGGGCCATGTCCAGCCCAGGGCCTGCTTTTATACCAACTGTGAGCTAAGAATAGTTTTGTCATTTTTAAATCATTGTAGAAACAAACAAACAAAAACGAAGCATATGTGACAGAAACCACAGGCCCTGCAAAACCTAAAATAGTTACTATCTGTCTCTTTACAGAAGAAGTTTGCGAACCTGTGGGCTGGTCCCTGGACTTTCCGGGTGGGCCCATGTGTAACACAAGGGCACGGCCTGGAGCCCAGTTTGTCAAACCTCAGATGTCACACCCATCATCATTTCAGCCCTAGTCAGAGTCTACTTACTTCTTCATGTTTTCTTAACCACATTCATTTGCCACTTAACTTTTTAAAAAAGTATCTCCCTTTTAAAAATTTAATTTTGAAAGTATCTTATTAAACTCCCTATATATGGGAAACCAGTATAACATGCCATAAATTGATGATAAGCCGTAACGATAAATCCAGTGGAAGCAATAACACAAAATGGCATTACGCTGCAGTTAGGTATGGTTGCCTGCCAAGAGCTCTTTGTTGTTTGTTTAAGAGAGGAATTTGTTAAGTTAAAGTGTTAAGGGCTTACCGGCACCAAACTGAGACTTTTTTCTTGAAATGATTCAGAGAAAATAATTGAAATTTCTTAATCCTTCTACCTGCCTTTTCTCTCATTTACCCATTTACCCACCTACCCATCTACCTACCCACCCACCCACTCACCCACTCACTCACCCACCAACCCACTCATGCACTCATCTGTCCATTCATCTGTCTGTCTATCCATGCACCTACCTATCCTTCCACCCACCTACTCATCCATCCATCCATCCACCCGCCCACCCGCCCACCTGCTCATCCATCTGTCAACCCACCTATCCATCCATACATCTACACATCAGTAAATCCCCAGAGCCAGCTTGTGCCAGACCTTGTGCTGGGCGCTGGGGACCCCAAGATGAATTGAGTGATGCTGCCTGACATCAGGGAGCTCTCGGTTGGGCGTAAGACATAGGAATGCAGACAGGCCGTTGCCCCTAAGTAAGGGTAGGAAGTGGTGTAGGGTTGGGGCTCCCTAGCTCCGCTGCCCCTCCTGCTGTCTCAGGATCATCTCTCCCAGGGGTGGACTTCAGAAAGCAGAAATGTCAAGCCCAGAGGAACCCAAACCACAAATATCTCAGAAATTTGGGCCTTGGGTAGGAAGTGGTGTAGGGTTGGGGCTCCCTAGCTCCGCTGCCCCTCCTGCTGTCTCAGGATTATCTCTCCCAGGGGTGGACTTCAGAAAGCAGAAATGTCAAGCCCAGAGGAACCCAAACCACAAATATCTCAGAAATCTGGGCCTTTAGCAGGGAAGAAGCCAAAGGAACAGGGGCCTGTGTCTGCCTGGCCTTTGAATGGTCCTGCTGGGGCCAGATTCAAGTCCTAGCTCTGTCACTATGTAGCTCTGTGACTTTAGGCAAGTCACTTTCCCACTCTGTGCCTGGGCTTCCGTCTGTATGTAGGGAAAGGATTAGACCAAGATACAACTCATATGCCAGCTCGATTCATTGTGATGACGAGGGTGTAGTATCCTGAGACTCCTTCTGTGGCTACAGTATCCGGGCTACAACATCCATGATTGATTTGTGGTGCCTGCACTTGATTGGTGGTAGCTGTGGGGAGTCACAGCCTCAGACTAGCAGGAAGGAGTTCTGAAATTGATTGGTGATGTCTGCCGTGGGCGTAGCACCCTGAAGCAGTAGCACACTTTGTTTGCCCTCCATGGGCCAGATAATACCTAAGAGTCCTGCCCGCTCCCTTGATCTGGGATTATAAGTTTTGGAAACTCGTGATGGGACATAGGGCTTTGTGCCACTGTTCTCCAAAGCTACCTCTGTCCCTTCCCTGGCCCTCATGCCCCTTTCCTGCCCCAGAGTTCAAACAGAAAGAAGAGTGTACAATCCGTGGCCGGAACTTGATCCAGATCAGCATCCAGGAGGACCCCTGGAACCTCCCCAACTCCATCAAGACCCTGGTGGACAACATTCAGAGATACGTGGAAGGTCAGTAGGCAGGGAGGATGTGTCATGTGGGGGTTTTGTTGCCTTTGGCTCAGAATGTGGAATGTGGAAGGATCAGGAATGGGCCCATCTTCGTGCCCCATGTCTCTCCATGCCCAGGGAAAGGACAAGAAGCATGGGTGCCTTTTCTTGGCTGAGCGTCCTGATCTAGGAGCAGCTGATGTTGGGTGTCACTTATACTGGGACTTCCTTGCGAGTCCAGAGGCCGAAAAGGCTGAACTTGTTCCTTTTCAAGCTTCCAAAACTGCAGCTTTAATTTCATTCCTTTTGTTTAATATCTAGGTCACAGCTGGTGGCCCACTGACCAGATTTGGGCCCACAGGTAGATTTCGATGCTACAGCATCAAAAAAATGTGAATTTGCTGCCAGTGTTTACAATCAGAGATTTTACATAAAAATCTGGATTTCTGGTTGCTCTTGAACACCAGAAGATCTGGTGACATCAGACCCGCAGACCCACATCACGCTTGGCTGGGCATGAGTGGCAGCCCCTGTCTTTAGATTAGTAAGGGCTGCTTTCCAGCTGACTGCTACCCACCACTCCTGCAGCCTGGTGTCGCTCTGTCCTACGTTACCTGCCCTTATCAACATTTGAGTCTGGGATTCCTGGGTTAGAAGGACCAAGGCCAGGGAGACAGTTGACCAGGACAGCAGGAAGTTGTTCCCCCAGGGGATGGCAGCCTCTGAGTAGGAAGTCTGTGTTGACCCTGTGCTGTCCTGTTTTCCAAACTAATTGATTAAGAGCACGGATTCTGGAGCCAGACTGCCACGGCCTGAATCCCTGCTCAGTCAATTATCAGCCGTGTGAACTTGGCAAGTTCCTTGGCTTCTCTGGGCCTTAGTTTATTCTTGTGTGAAACGGGCTCATAGTGCTACCTCTCTCACGTGTTGTGAGAATTAAACGAGTCAGTACAAAGCACACAGGCAGGCAGTGCTCAGTAAGTACACGCTGCACACCTGCTCTGAGCTTCACGCCTCTCCAGGGAAGAAAGTATCTCCAGAGGCTCAGTCCAAAGGCCTTGCAGATTTTTCTTTTAAGCCCTTTCTGGTCCCCAAAGTATCTTTTGGACGGACAGAGACCAGGATGCTAGGCTTTTCTCTGGAAGAAATGAGCTTTGTCTGTATGTGCATGGGGCCTTGACTGTGTAGGCTGCGCACAATGTGTGTGTGTGCACATGATGTCTGTGTGTCTGCATGAGTGTGTCTATGTGAATGCGTGTGTACCTGTGTGTATGTGCACGTGTGTGTGCCCACACATGCGTGTACGAGGTAGAGGGCAGGGGNACCTGTGTGTATGTGCACGTGTGTGTGCCCACACATGCGTGTACGAGGTAGAGGGCAGGGGCCATGGCTCAGGAATTCAAAGGGCTGATTTTAGTCTCTGTTTCATGGGTCCATGTAAACAGATAAGGCTAACAGTTGGGGTTCCATTCCCTGATGTCCAAAGGTTCCTGGAATTCACCAGCATTCCATAAAACCTCCTTGAGCACAGCCTTCTGTACCCAGAGCTTCACTGTGCAGGATCAGGGTGCTTGGCTGTGGGGAGGGGCCCAGCTCAGACCTCACCTCTGCTAACCCCTCTCAGCCATCCTCCTTCTCTCTCCCCTCTCCTTCCAGATGGGAAGAACCAGCTGCTCCTAGCCTTGCTGAAATGCACAGGTGAGAGCTTTGTGTGAGTTGCACCCCCTCAGGAGTGTCCAGGAGGCATTCCTTGCAGTGGGTCCTCGTGGCCTCAGCCTAGGGAAGCCCTTCTATAGCCAAGGTGGACTTTTCCTTGGTCCAGCAGGGGCCAGACTGGGAGAAAGCAACATTTTGGCCTCGCCCCTCCAAGAACTGCTTCAACCTTGCCTCTTCCTCTTGTGTACTTGGGACAAGTCCCAGGGCCATGGAGCTAGGAGCTCTGTTTTGTACCACCTGCCAGGCCTGGGTGGCTGTTGACAAGGACACAGGATAGAGGACCCATGATTGGGGAGGCTCTTTGCCAGTAGAGCCTACAGCCCCAGCCTGGGGACTTCCTACCCAGCAGATAGAGGGGGTGACCTGGGGGAATCTTGGAGACATTCTCAGTGCCTCCCTTATTTCCAGAAATTCTCAGCCATGGGGGAGCTACAGTAGGATCAGGGTCAAAACTGGTCACTAAAACCTGTTGGCCTAAAGCCAGTCACTGAAAATAATTTTTTACCTGAAGATTGGGACCCTGAAAGACCCATTGCCTGAAATTGGCCAGTTCCTCAGACCATGTCAAGGTCAAGGCGGGGGCAATGGGAGAGGCGGGACAGGAAGAAGGCAGGCATGGTTCCCAAAATAGAGAAAATGGTGCGGTGCGTTACTTAAAATGTGGTCTTAGCTGAGGAGCTTGACATCATTGGCATTCAACAGGCCAAGGCCAAGATATCCCTTAACACGTGCAAAAACAGTTGAGGGTAAGGTTTTTGGAAAAGCCTTAGGAAAAACCACAAGTCTTTTTTTTTTTAAAGTAGGCAGATGGGTCATTGAGATAAGTGAGTTTTTCAGCAAATTGGCTTGCTTTTGGAGAATTGATTTTTGTGAAATTGGCTTTTGGAGGCTGGGATTTCCACTGGAAATTAATTTTTGGCATGTTGGCCCTTTGTGGAGGTCCATGGGGAATTGGTACTGGGCCCAGGGCTCTGGACTGTGGCCTGTTGACGGCACAGGACACCCTGACCAGTGAGGCCCCTCCTGCCCTCTGCCCCCAGACACGGAGCTGCAGCTGCGCAGGGATGCCATCTTCTGCCAGGCCCTGGTGGCCGCAGTGTGCACCTTCTCCGAGCAGCTGCTGGCAGCCCTCAGCTACCGCTACAACAACAACGGCGAGTACGAGGAGAGCAGCCGCGATGCCAGCCGCAAGTGGCTGGAGCAGGTGGCGGCTACGGGCGTCCTCCTGCACTGCCAGTCCCTGCTCACACCGGCCGCTGTGGTGAGTGGGTGGGCAAGGGAGGCAGGCAGGGGGCCCCGCCAGCCCACATGCTGGTGCCCCCGATGGGGCAGAGGGGAGCTCCTGCCCACTCAGGCTCTCCCTCACCTGGTTGCAGTGATTTATTGAGCACCTACTGTGTGCCACTGTTAGGGGCACTGGGGGTCTGGCAGTGAGCAAAACCTAGTCCCTCTGCTCAGGGTCTCCTATCCTCGTGGGAGGGAGACAACATAAACACACACAAGTGGTAGAGACCAGTGGTTCTCAACCAAGGGCAGTTTTACCCCCTAGGGGACACCCTGGGTGGGGGGAGGTGCTGCTGGCATCTAGTGTGTGTAGGAGCCAGCCATGCTGCTGAACATCCTGCAGTGTCCTGAATGTCAATAGTGCCTTGTCTCCGCAAGCCCAGCCGCTGGCTGGTGGAGAAACATGGCCTTGGAGCTCCCTCTGCTGGCCGCCGCAGCACGCAGGCACTTGCCCGGCAGGAGATCCGCCCTCACTGGGTTCCTGGAAAGCACAGTCGGTGACCCAGAAAGGCAGCCAGCCGGAACACCAGCCCTCACCTTCTTCTTCTCGATGGGGACACTGGGCCCAAGTCACTCATTCTCCAAACACCACGAGGTTCCAGGCTCTGAGCTGGGTGCTGGGGGTCTGGCGCTTGCTTTCTAGCTGGGGGAAGCAGATTGAGAACAAAGGAGGGAGAGGGAAGGTAGCAGGAAAGCTAGAAGGCGGTGGAGCTTCTTTGGAGTAAGGGGACAGAGGCGGCCTTTCTGAGGAGGTGACGTTTGAGCTGAGAGCTCAGCCAGCCAGTAGACGGTTTGAGGAAGAGTGTGCCGGGCAGAGGAAACAGCCAAGGCCCTGAGCAGAGGCCATGTGGCCATAGGGGAGCGGCCAAGAGGGGTTGGGAGATGAGGCCGGGGGGGCCAGGACTTTATTCTGAGCAGACGAGGGCTCAGAGGCTTTGAGTCAGTAAGTCATGTAATTTGGGCTAAGTTTTTAAAAGATAACTTGGAGTCAGAGGGGAGGGTGGCTTGTCTGGGGGGAAAGGGTGGCAGGAGGGAAATCTCTGCTATGGGCCTCCTGGCAGGAGACGTGGTGTCTGGAGTTTGGGGTGCAGCAGGAAGTTGGAGAGAGGTGGATGGATCTGGAGTAGGTTTTGGTGGTTGGACCATGAGGACTTGGTGATGGATTGTGTACAGGGTGAGGGGGACAGAAACAGAGAAGTCCTTAGAGGTTTGGAGCTTGGGCAACTGGGTGAATGCTGGCGCCATTTGGGACCGACNACTTGCCCGGCAGGAGATCCGCCCTCACTGGGTTCCTGGAAAGCACAGCCGGTGACCCAGAAAGGCAGCCAGCCGGAACACCAGCCCTCACCTTCCTCTTCTCGATAGGGACACTGGGCCCAAGTCACTCATTCTCCAAACACCACAAGGTTCCAGGCTCTGAGCTGGGTGCTGGGGGTCTGGTGCTTGCTTTCTAGCTGGGGGAAGCAGATTGAGAACAAAGGAGGGAGAGGGAAGGTAGCAGGAAAGCTAGAAGGCGGTGGAGCTTCTTTGGAGTAAGGGGACAGAGGCGGCCTTTCTGAGGAGGTGACGTTTGAGCTGAGAGCTCAGCCAGCCAGTAGACGGTTTGAGGAAGAGTGTGCCGGGCAGAGGAAACAGCCAAGGCCCTGAGCAGAGGCCATGTGGCCATAGGGGAGTGGCCAAGAGGGGTTGGGAGATGAGGCCGGTGGGGCCAGGACTTTATTCTGAGCAGACGAGGGCTCAGAGGCTTTGAGTCAGTGAGTCATGTAATTTGGGCTAAGTTTTTAAAAGATAACTTGGAGTCAGAGGGGAGGGTGGCTTGTCTGGGGGGAAAGGGTGGCAGGAGGGAAATCTCTGCTATGGGCCTCCTGGCAGGAGACGTGGTGTCTGGAGTTTGGGGTGTGGCAGGAAGTTGGAGAGAGATGGATGGATCTGGAGTAGGTTTTGGTGGTTGGACCATGAGGACTTGGTGATGGATTGTGTACAGGGTGAGGGGGACAGAAACAGAAAAGTCCTTAGAGGTTTGGAGCTTGGGCAACTGGGTGAATGCTGGCGCCATTTGGGACCGACTGGAGGATGAGAAAGGAAACAGGGACTCTTATTTGGGTGTGTTAGGTTTAAAATGGCATAGTTAGAAGCGTGGTGTGGTGGTCCAGGTAAAAGAGGAAGTGACTTGACAAGAGCCACTGAGCACATTAAGGCAGAGGTGGGCTCTGACCCTTGGGAGTTACAGGACAAGCTGGTCATAGAGCAGCTCTGGAGAGTCACGCTTGGGACCTAGCCCCTGGGAGGCCCAGTCTGGTGTGTCGACTAGAGTTGAATCATAGCATCTCGAAGTGAAACGCCAGGCCAGGGGTGGCAGCTGAGTCTTCTCTACCCTGTCTTCTACCTGCAGAAGGAGGAACGGACTATGCTAGAGGACATCTGGGTGACCCTGTCGGAGTTGGATAATGTCACCTTCTCCTTTAAGGAGCTGGATGAGAACTATGTGGCCAGTGAGTGACTCCTGCCTCCCTTACCATGAGAGTCAGGGTTCTAGGGAGGAAGGGACTGCTCTGTCCTCCCCTTTGCCTTTAGGGCAGCTGTCCTGCATTGACCTGGGACCCAGCCCCATCACACCTCATGCTCCCAGTGTGTGTCTGAAAGCTGAACCTTGCGGCACATGTGGAAAAGAAGGGTTTCTTTTTGTATAAACCCAGCTGTTTCCAACAGCTCTTAAAAAGGAACAGAAACCACCCTATTAAAATTCCATCCTAGAGACAACCTTTTTTGGAGTAAAGACTTAAGTTTTTTTAAGGGTTTATACCATAATTAACTAAGTTTCTTCCTTTCTTTCTCCCACCCTCACACCCTTTCATCCACCCCCCATTCACTTGCTCACCCACCATCCATCCATCCATCATCCACCCACATATCCATAATTAGGAACATGTAGTATGTGTCAGGTACAGTCTTGGGTTCTGGGGCTACAGTGCAGAGAAATGCAGCCATGGCTGCCGTGGATTCCACCCTCCTGGAGCTCAGTCTGGCCCAGTGGGGCTCAGTCCTGGTTGCACACTGGAATTGTCTGGGGAGCTTTTCAAAGATACTGCTGCCCCAATCCCTGGCAATTCTGATTTAGTTTGTGGGGTGGGGGCTGGACCAATGCCTAGCAGGGTCGACGACCACTGGGCTTGACTTTAGATCAGTGTTCCAAGAGTGGCCCTGCACCAGCAGTGCCCAGGACCTGGCTGGAAAGGCTGATTCGCAGGCTCCACCCCAGCCCTACTGCAGCAGAGACTCTGAAGGTAGAGCCCAGAAATCTGTGCCTTGACAAGGAAGCCCCTCCCCCCCAGTGACTCTGAAGCCCACTAGTTTGAGAACCACTGCTCTAGCTTAGTGTTTCTGAACTTATTTTCATTTCACTTAATCGAAACCCTCTTTTGACAATTTTTCCCTAATTGTCACACCCCCATGAAATTTAATGCCATGAATATACTGTGTATCTGTTTATGTACTATGTGTCTGTGTTTAAGTTTTTTCCACTCTCCCTCTCAAGAACTGACTTTCACTGTTTTGGGGGTGATATCACCCCTGTTGAGAACACCTGGACTAGAGCCTAGAGGGACAATGGGTTTCTTTTCAGGTACCAATTTGAATTGATTGGCAGTGGCCACCTCTGTAGGCTGAGCTTTGGGGGCCACATCCAATCACTATTGATTGATTAGTGATGCCTGCCGTGGGTGTGGGATGGGGTCCAAGTGTCATATTTTACCACCCCTGCCATAAGCTCTTCCTTATGGGTGTGAATAAGATGCAGGCCCTGGCTGGGGGCAGCTTTTGCCAGGTAGGGGCCCTGGGCTGCCAATAAGGGGCAAAAGGAGCATTGGTGAGGCCCTGAGGTCCAAAGCTGCTGACTCCCAAATGGGCAGAACCATGTCAGGCCCAAGAGCGAGGCAGTGGGAACGGGACTATTGCAGGAGGCCAAGGGAGGTCGGAGGCTGCTCTTCACAGCATGAGAAGGTGGGGCTGTCTGAGGCTCCCCTCGGAGGGTGGAAGGGCAGGAGGTCTGAGACTGTCTCTATGGAGTGAGCAGACAGGGACGTCTTAGATACAACTCTGGGGTGAGTGGACATGGAAGTCCCAGGGTTCCACCCTGTAGCTGGGAAGACAAGGGGGTCTGAGGCTACCCCTGTGGGGCAAGAGGGCAGGGAGATCTGAGGCTACCCCTGTGGTGTGGGGAAAGCAGTGAGGTCCCAGGATACCACTGTGGAGCCAGGGGAAGGGAGATCTGCAGCTGCTCTCAGGCAGGTAGGGCAGAGCTCCCCTTGGGCCTCGTGATGAGCCACCCTGCCCCACCATGTCCTCCCACAGACACCAACGTCTTCTACCACATTGAGGGCAGCCGGCAGGCGCTGAAGGTCATCTTCTACCTCGACAGCTACCACTTCTCCAAGCTACCCTCCCGCCTGGAGAGCGGAGCTAGCCTGAGGCTGCACACCGTGCTTTTCACAAAAGGTGAGCTGCAGGCAGCTGGTGGGACCATGGGGATGGGCCAAGGCCACCAAGCACACCAGGACTCAACCATCTGCCCTCCCTCTTCTTCCTTCACAGCTCTGGAGAATGTGGAGGGGCCACCTCCTCCAGGCAGCCAGGCGGCGGAGGATTTACAGCAGGAGATCAACGCTCAGTCCCTGGAGAAAGTGCAGCAGTATTACCGCCAACTCAGGTATCTGCCTGCAGACCATGTTGGGGTAGGAGTCCGGAAGCTGCCACGGGGTGTGGGCGTCAGCATGTAAGGTGCCAGGTAGGCCCCCAGCGTGGGGAGTGGACCAAACACCCTTTCTTGAGCGCTATTGTGTGCCAGGCCTTTTGCCTGCAGGAGATTCTCACAGCAATCTGAATGGTAGGCCATTCAAACCCACTTTACAGATGAGGAAACTGAGGCCCAGAGAGCATACACAGCTTGCCCAAGGTCACACAGTTGTAGAGTGGCTGCTCTCTGAACCTGGGACTGTTCAAAGTGAGTCTTTTCTGCTGAGTCGAGCTGCTTGTGGGGGTATGGAGCTGCCTGTGCTTCCATTCTGTGTGGGGGTGGGAGGCGGGACGGGGGCCCCTGGGATTCTTGGGCCTGTGCGTAAGGGGTGTGGCTCCCAGGGCCTTGGCCCTGCTCAGAAGAGAACCCCCAGGGAGAAGTGGAGAGAACAGGGACCACAATTTGCCAGGAGGAAGCAGAAGTCCAGGGACCGCTGCCCCCACTGTGGCCCTGCCTGAGTTCTGCCTCACCACCCCACTCTGTGACAGGGGTAGGCTGAGAGTTAGGAGACCAGGGACCAAGGTGTGCGTGGCTTCATCCTCGTGGGGCCCCATTTTACCATTTGAAAATGGTGGGGTGATGCTTTCATTCATTTGCTCAGGAAAAACATCCAGCCAAATTATTTAATCCTAGCATGTGTTTGGATTGATCAGTGCTTTCCATCTGTTCTGTGCCATATGTTGAATATTTTAAATATTGTCTCTGTGATCATTCGTTCACCACTTCATTCATTCAGCACGTTTAATTGAGATCTTTTATGGGTCAGGCACCGTCCTAGGTGCTTGCTCGGGAACCAGCAGTGAGCAGAAGTCCTGTTCTTCATGGAGCAGATCTTTTAGAGCAGGGGTTGTTGAAATCCGGCCCACCCCCTGTTTTGTAAATTAAGTTTTATTAGCACCCACCATGCCCATGTGTTTACATATTATTCATGGCTACTTTTGTGCTACACAGCAGAGTTGAATAGTGTGGCGATAAAGACTCTCTGGTTTACAAAACCTGAAATATTTACTATTTGGCCCTTTACAGAGAAAGTTTGCCGACCCCTGTTCTAGAGGGGGAGACGAACAGTATACCAGTGAGCACAGGGCATGTAATACACCAAATGGTGAGACGGGCTCAGAAGAGGAGCAAAGCAGGACATGGGCATGGAGGGTTGGGGGGGCAGTCAGGTACAGGTGGCGTTTGAGGAGTGCTCAGGAGGCCCCTTGTTTTCCTGATGGGGCTATTGGAGAACAGGTGACTGTGGGTGTGAACAGCTGTGCCAGATGCTTCCAGTGATTTTTTTTTTGGAGAGTCAGAGAAGAGCTGAGCAGCTGTGGCCCCAGGAGTGACGGGGGTAGGGGTGCGGAGGACGGTGGGTGTGGCGGCCCCACCCTCAGCCCCATCTTTCTCTTCAGAGCGTTTTACCATGCTTCCAGTGATTTTTTTTTTGGAGAGTCAGAGAAGAGCTGAGCAGCTGTGGCCCCAGGAGTGACGGGGGTAGGGGTGTGGAGGACGGTGGGTGTGGCGGCCCCACCCTCAGCCCCATCTTTCTCTTCAGAGCGTTTTACCTGGAACGGTCTAACCTGCCCACGGATGCCAGCACCACAGCAGTGAAGATAGACCAGGTGTGTCTGCTCCCCACCCCCATGAAGTTTGGGCAGGACTCTCAGGGTTAGGACTCAGCACACAGGCCCAGTGGCACCGCAGCCAGAACCCTGGCCAAGAAGCCCCCGAGGCCCCTGCAGTTCCTCCTCCAGTCTCCCGGGATAGCTCCCTCCTCCTTCTCGGGATTCCTTGGTTGGTTTATTTTCGCTGGCACCCATGGCCTGGGCCTCTCTCATCTCCCTTGTGAATCGCAGCATTTCTCTGAGGCTGGAGCCCCATATAGGTCAAAGTAGTGAACCCTACGCCAGATGTGGCCCAATTTGTTACCAATGTTTAGAAATCAAAAGATTTCTTCATAAAAATGGAGACTTTTAGCTTTTCTTGAGAAATGGAATGATCTGGCTGTGCGGGGCCCACGTTCCCGCACGTCATGAGCTTCCGAGGGGCCTCCCACTGGCTGGTCTGGCTACTCACCCACGATGCATCTCTCCTGGCCTTCCGGTTTCCCAGGCTCAGGCAGGCCTTAAACCTGACGATGGTTTTGGTGTGCGAGGCTTGGGGCTATGAGGCTGGGGTCTCTGATAGAAGTGGCACAGTACTCTGGGACTTTGTAGTGTGGATGGCAGAATATCACTGTGGCACAGAACGAGTTAGTGAGCTGCTGTTTTGTCCCTTTACATGGTGGTCGGGGAAAACTCAGGGCACAAGTGAAGACTCTTCCTGGGGAGGGGACCTTTGAACTTAACAGTGGGTTTGGAGAGGACAGGAGAGGGCACTTTGTTCAGGCTTAGTTGGGGACACACCTGAGCAGGTGAAGAGAATTAGGTTAGAAGGTTAGACATGAAATATATGGTGAACATTGAATGCCAGCTTATAGGGAAGTGGGGAGCCACAGATTGTTCTTAAGCATGGGTGGTAGAAGGTTAATTGGATTGTAAACCCCAGAGAGGTGAGCTGGGAGGACAACTGCAGTAACAAAGCTGGACTAGAAGGAGGTGATGGGGGAGGAAGGCCGGGTTGGGGAGCAGGGGCTGTGGGGGCCTCCCCCAACCATCCTGGTGTATGTTTTGCACCTTGCAGCTGATACGCCCAATCAACGCCCTGGACGAGCTCTGCCGCCTCATGAAGGCCTTTGTCTATCCCAAACCTAGTGCTGGTGGGAGTTTGGGTGCCGGCCTCATCCCCATCTCCTCCGAGCTCTGCTACCGCCTGGGGGCTTGCCAGATCACCATGTGTGGTACGGGCATGCAGAGGTGAGGTGTCATGACCCCTGAGCTGGGTGTGGGGAGGTAGCTGGGCGGGCTCTGGGCAGTGTGGAGGTCTCAGGGCAAGGAGGCAGGAAGGTTGGGTTCAAATCCTGGTTTTGCCACTGTCCATTGAGCCTAGACAAAGCCATGGCTGTCTCTGGACCTCAGTTTGTTTCTCTTTGAAAGGATGTTCACTGTGCAGCTGATTAAATACAAAAGAATAGCTGGAGTTCTGGATAGATGCGAAAGCACTTCACTTTGAAAGCAGTCCACACTGATGAACAATTTTCCTCATTGCTATGAGACAGAAGGAGGCCCGACAATAGAGTGTGTGGAAATTTGACAAGCCTGTGACCAGATACTTGCAGACCTTACTTTGANTCCTGGCCTTCCGGTTTCCCAGGCTCAGGCAGGCCTTAAACCTGACGATGGTTTTGGTGTGTGAGGCTTGGGGCTATGAGGCTGGGGTCTCTGATAGAAGTGGCACAGTACTCTGGGACTTTGTAGTCTGGATGGCAGAATATCACTGTGGCACAGAACGAGTTAGTGAGCTGCTGTTTTGTCCCTTTACATGGTGGTCGGGGAAAACTCAGGGCACAAGTGAAGACTCTTCCTGGGGAGGGGACCTTTGAACTTAACAGTGGGTTTGGAGAGGACAGGAGAGGGCACTTTGTTCAGGCTTAGTTGGGGACACACCTGAGCAGGTGAAGAGAATTAGGTTAGAAGGTTAGACATGAAATATATGGTGAACATTGAATGCCAGCTTATAGGGAAGTGGGGAGCCACAGATTGTTCTTAAGCATGGGTGGTAGAAGGTTAATTGGATTGTAAACCCCAGAGAGGTGAGCTGGGAGGACAACTGCAGTAACAAAGCTGGACTAGAAGGAGGTGATGGGGGAGGAAGGCCGGGTTGGGGAGCAGGGGCTGTGGGGGCCTCCCCCAACCATCCTGGTGTATGTTTTGCACCTTGCAGCTGATACGCCCAATCAACGCCCTGGACGAGCTCTGCCGCCTCATGAAGGCCTTTGTCTATCCCAAACCTAGTGCTGGTGGGAGTTTGGGTGCCGGCCTCATCCCCATCTCCTCTGAGCTCTGCTACCGCCTGGGGGCTTGCCAGATCACCATGTGTGGTACGGGCATGCAGAGGTGAGGTGTCATGACCCCTGAGCTGGGTGTGGGGAGGTAGCTGGGCGGGCTCTGGGCAGTGTGGAGGTCTCAGGGCAAGGAGGCAGGAAGGTTGGGTTCAAATCCTGGTTTTGCCACTGTCCATTGAGCCTAGACAAAGCCATGGCTGTCTCTGGACCTCAGTTTGTTTCTCTTTGAAATGGGACAGCAGGAGTAGGTGGTCCTGGGAAGACTGTGGAACTTCTGTTTTTCTAACTCTGTGGTTAGCGTGGATGAGAGGGTTGTGCAGTGTGGTTCTGCTGGAAACTCCACTCAGCAGTGACAGTAACAATCATTCATCTTTACGAGGCAGAACTGTCCTCCTTGTCTCACTGGACACGCTCTGCATCTGTCCCTTGCTTTGCTCATGTCACCTCTGTTAGGCCTTCCCTGACCTCCCTGTTCAACACTGCCCTGTCTTCCCCCAGCAGCCTTTCACTCTCTTTTCCTCGGCCGCCCTCATCACCCACATCCAACGCACTTGGTTTGGGTGCTAGTTTCTTCTCTGCCATCCCCAGTGCAGAGCCAGCTCCGGGAGGGCAGGGACCTGTTTTGTCCTCTGCTGTGTCACAGCTCCTAGAACAGTGGTACATGGCAGGTGCCTGATAAAGGTCTGTGGAGTAAGTGATGTAGCCGGTGGTGCTCTGTGCGTGTGCCCATTGCTAATGCCCCGTGCGGGTCATCCATTTCCTCACAGCGGGCCAGTGCGGCGGGGCCTATTGCAGGGGTCTTTCGGGGTCATTTTGCCCCCCAGGGGATGTTTGGTAATGATTGGAGATTTTTTGGGGGGTTGTCACAATGGGGTGGGGGTGGGGGTAGGGAGGAGGTGCTACTGTCATCTAGTGGGTGGAGGCAGGGGTGCTCTAAACATCCTGCACTGCCGGGGACAGCCCATCTGTCTGGTCACAGTGTCAGTCATGTACTGTTAGGGTCCCTGTTTTATAGTGAGGGAAACCGAGACACGGAGAGATGAGCTCAACTGTCGAGAGTCACAGAGTTATTACGTGGAGGGACAGGAGTAGAATCCAAGAGGTCTGGCTGCAGCGCCTGTGTTCCAGAACTGCTCAGGAACAGCTGTGAGGGATGAGTCAAGGTGTCCATCTCGGACCCTGCTGACAACTCGTGAGGCATTCAGGGAGTCACCCCATTGGGTCATTTGGCAGATACCACAGAACTCCATGAGGTCCCTGCCTCCTGGGCTGCTGTGTTGGAGGGGTGCAGATAGCGGAGCAGTAAAGCCACCTGTGTGCGGGTGGGGCGGGGAGGGAGGCTGCCGGGAGGGATGTGGTGGGGGTCCAGGGCCAGCGGATGTCTGGGGGTCAGGGGGCTGGTCCAGGGCAAGACTGTACCATGGGCACAGCAAGGGGAGAAGATGAGGCTGTAGTGGGGCTAGAGGTCACCCCCCACCTGGTCTCACTGCCACCCCTCCCGCTCCACGCTGCAGGAGCACCCTGAGTGTGTCCTTGGAGCAGGCGGCCGTGCTGGCACGGAGCCATGGACTGCTGCCCAAGTGCATCATGCAGGCCACGGACATCATGCGCAAGCAGGTGAGGGGCCTGGCCGCTCCACGCTGCAGGAGCACCCTGAGTGTGTCCTTGGAGCAGGCGGCCGTGCTGGCACGGAGCCATGGGCTGCTGCCCAAGTGCATCATGCAGGCCACGGACATCATGCGCAAGCAGGTGAGGGGCCTGGCTCTCAGCAGGGGGCGGGGGGCACAACTCTGGATGGGGTGCCATCTGCCCACACCTGGACTTTTTCCCTTCTGGAGGGGCCAAGGTTTTGGCTTCTGGAGACCCCATCCCCTCTACCCCTCATGCTTCCTCAAGTGTCCTGAACTTGCAGAGGACCCAGGCCGGATGGTTCTTTCTTTCCAGGGTCCCAGGGTGGAGATTCTGGCCAAAAACCTCCGGGTCAAGGATCAGATGCCCCAGGGTGCCCCACGGTGAGTGGCTGCCCCATTCCCTCCTCTGCTCTCTTTCCAGAAGGCCAAGACCAGGTCCCAAGCTTTGCTTCAAAATCCCAGCCTTGCCCCAGGCAGACCTGCTGGTGCTCAAATCAGTCTTCACCTCTTATTTATGGGGACCCCGCTTTGGGGAGTGACAAATAGGACTCAGTCTTTCACCTCCCAAAGGAGCTCCCACTTCTGCTGGGAAGATGAGACGGGTCCCCAAAGCGAGCCAGGGGCAGTGGTTTGGTGTGATCCCCTCACCTGACCACCACTGTGCCACCTGCCCGGCCACCTCACAGTCCCGAGCCCACCTGCTAGGTCCTGTCCTCTCCGCCCCATTGTCTCAAGTTTTAAGTAATTTCTAGTTTGAGGTACTTTGACTCACAAAAAGTTGTAAAAATAGTGCAAGGATCTTTGGTGCACCTTTCAGGCAGCTTCCCCCAGTGGATGATGTCTTAGGTAGAGACAGCGCATTGTCAAGACCAGGACAATACTGCCCTTGTCCACCAGTTTTTACATGCACTCTTCTGCCCTCATCTTTTCTTTT